AAATAAAAATTAGTGGTTATAGAAGTCACACTGAAGAATTACCAGGCAAAAGTGGGCCACAATATACAAAGATCTCTCCACAACACTACCAACTCTAAAATAAGCTCTGAAATCACTACAAATCTATTCCAACGGAAGAAATATAAAAATGCAAAACTAGGCCTGGCTGGTATGCACAGTAGTTAGAGCATCGTCCTGCGCACCAGAGAGTCACAGGTTCAATTCCTGGTCAAGGGCACATACTTGGGTTGCAGGTCCAAACCCCCCCTCCCCCACCGCCCCCCGGTTGTGGGCCCATGTGAGAGGCAACCAATCTATGTGTCTTTGTCACATGGATGTTTCTCTATCTTTCCCTCTCTTCCACTCTCTCTAAAAACCAATGGAAAAAATATCTTCATGTGAGAATTAGCAAAAAAAGAAAAAGAAAAAGAAACAGAGGAGGAGGTTCTGAAAAGTGGAGTCAGGAAAAGGCAGTTTCTCCTCTATTCCACTCCATTCCAGCTAGGCACACTGAGAGCACATTCCCCAGGCAGGAAACCCTTCATCAGCCTGAAGGGCTCTCTCGATAATGCTTCCTTCCCATTTTTGATGTACAATAGCACCATTTTCCTAAGTAGAGTAATACACAGCACCTTGGATGAACAAAAGGTTATAATTTAGCCAAGGCCTCTGCTGATGCTTGAAAGAAAAGGCAGCAAATAATTGAGATGAAATGACTACTTTAGTGATCCTCAGAGATATCAGACTTATTCCAGATGGTTATCTTTATTACATGTATGCAAGAATTATATATATGGGCATTGGGTCACCTTCCACACTACAAACCAGAAAGATTTGCTCTGTGAAAAAATAACCTTAGATGAGCAGTTTTTTAGATTCATATCAAAGGCCTCAAAAGATACATACACAGTTTTTAAATCAAAAAACAAAGAAACCCAAGTAACTACTTTTGTAAGACTACATCTGAATAGTACACCACCATGCTCTACATACAGAACAGAGTAAGTTCCATTACCTGAATTCATTTTATATCAAGGCAACAGTTAAGTTTATACTAAAAGAAGAAGAAAATTTATCTGTGGACTTCAAGCAAAAGAGAATACTGTAGTCCCCCCATTATCTGCAGGGGAATCCATTCTAAGATCCCCAGTGAATGCCTGAAACAGCAGATAGTACCAAACACTCTATAGGCAATATTTTCCCCTATAATACATTCTATGATAAAGTTTAACTTATAAATTAGGCACAGTAAGACATTCACAATAAAAAAAAAATTATTATAACAATATATTGTAATAAACGTTATGTGAATATAGTCTCTCTCTCTCTCTCTCTCTGATAACCAACCTGATAACTGAGATGGCTACTAAGAGACTAACAGGTAGGTAGTGTAGCTACACTGGACAAAAGAACAATTTGTATCTGAGTGGGACAGCATGAGATTTCATTACATCTATATATATAAAAAGCCAGCAAACAGAACGCTGTAATGACCAGAAAGACCAGTTGCAATGTGCCCTCTGTGGCTAGCAAACCGGACCCATCTGGGGTGGGGCTGGCCAGCCAACCTCCTACGGCCTCTCCCCCAGGCTGGCCCTGCTCCCTAACAGCCTTTTCCACTCCATCAAGGGCAGGCCAGTCAACCTCCTGCAGCCCCCCTCTGCCTGGCCCCACCCCAATTAGGGGCTAGGACGACCAGCCAACCACCCACAACTCCTCCCCCTGGCCCCCAATCAGCCTTCTCATCTCATTCGGGGGTGGGGCCCGCCAGCCCACCACCCACAGCCCCTTCCCCTGATTGGCCACACCCCCGAGCAGCCCCCACCACCCCGATTGGTCCACAGCCCCTTCCCCTGGCCAGATCTATCCCTGATTGCCATCCCCCCCCACTCCAATGAGGGATGGGGTTCGCTGGCCCATCATCCAGAGCCCCTCCCCTTGGCTACACCACCCCAATCAGGGGCAGGGCCCACCAGCCAATTGCCCTCGGCCCCTCCCCGCACCCCGGCTTTGATTGGGCCCTGATCGGGGCCGGGCCAGCCAGTCCCCACCAGTGCACAAATTTGTGCACTGGGGCCTCTAGTTATTCATCATAGTGCACAATTTATAACAGGAATTATTTATTTATAAAATTTCCTATTTAATATATTTGCACTACAGTTGACCACATGTAACTGCAACCATAGAAAATAAAAAAATCATTGATAAGGGGACTAATGCATTTCCTGAATGATATTTTAGGAAGTCAAATTCACTAAATCTCAAAATTTCTCCAGTGCAATAATGAAAGAGGGTGAACAAGATCTAATGGAAGGATCTTCAGGATAGGAAAAGAGAATAACATCTTCTAGTGAATATCAAGCTTTAAAACAAGAATAGAAAATGGGTAGCCAATCATCCCCTACCCTTCCCCCCCAAAAAAACATAAAAAAAACCCCAACTATTTTCAGTTTCTAATTATAGAAAGTAAACAAGGGTATAGAAAGACTTTAGGACTGAACAACTAAACCTAAATTGGTCAAATTCAACTTTTGCTCAACTTCTGATAGGTTGTATCACCTACAAGCAAATCACAATGGAAAAATGTCCCGAGAGAAAGAACAAAGGTAAAATCAGAGAGGTTTATTTTTTATAGGAGGTGCCAAAGAGGCTTACCAGAATATAATTCTTCTATGGAAATTACTGTCTTGGCTAAGAGATCAACTTTTAATATTTTTACCTAACTTCATTTGAAATTTCATATGGCTCAATTTTCTCAACCTAGGAGGCAAAGTTTAAATAACCTAGGTATCTTTTAAAAACAAGTGTTTAGGTCCTCCCAGAACTTCAGTTTAATTTGCTCTGGGGTTCGGCCCAAACACTTAACAGTATTTTTTAAAATATGGTGCTAATTATGTAGTTAAAATTGAGAACCACATGCTTGAAATCAAAGGTTAGTAGCTGCCATACTCCATTAGCAGCACACCACTGACCTCTATGGGTGAGGTTCTGTTAGAACTAATGATAAAAACAACAGCCACAGTCCAGAGCAGCGGTCGCCAATCAGTTGTCCGTGGACCATGCTGGTGGTCCCTAAGGTCCAAAGGGTGGCAACCATTAGTCTAGAGGTCTTTCTGAAATGAACACCGAGCTTATTATAACCCAGGGCCAGATAACCACATAACTCTAATCCTGGCCATATTTAAGTGGGGTCTGGGTCAAATGTTATCACTCTTAGCAACAATAATTTTCCCTGTTCAACAATCATTTTCACTGTTCAAAATGATTGTTGAACAGGGAAAATTGTTGTTGCTAAGAGTGATTTTACCAACATGGCTCATAAAATAATTTATACATGTTAGGTTATTTAAACTTTGCCGCCTAGGTTGAGATATTAAAAAATAAATAAATAAATAAAAAATAACATGTCTCTTTCCTTCCATGCTAAAATGGGCCAAGAAATAAGAGCATAGAATCTTGGGCCAGACAACATCAAAACATATGGCTTCTTTCTCCCCTCCATCTTTCAAACTTAATTTGTCATTCTTAGGTACAATAAGCAACCAGGAAAATTAATAATTATGGTTGTCAATGCATTAAGTTGAGAAGGATGTAGCATTTAACTTGTGGTTGATGCATCAACAGAATAGGAAAAGCTATTTCAATGTTTATAAGGGATTTGTGGAAGTCAGCATGAATATTTCAACATTCATTTGTCAGTGTCCTGAATCTCTAAGGAAACTATACAGCATTGCAGAATAATCATCTGAGGAAAATACTGTTCTTATATTATCAGTCAACTACAGCCACTGAAGATATAAATTTGAAAAGCAAACACTTATATCCCCCAGAAACACTATAGGAGTGCTCGTTTATGTCACTATAAGCTGGAGCTTAGAGTTTGGTCAGAGTAGACTCTAAAAGCAGGACTTTCCATTAGTAAAATGCACAACCCACAGAGTTATGACTATAATCCTATTTCCTTAGATTCTCTACCTGCCAAAAAGTAAATGTACCTATAATGGTGGACATGAATGCAAGATAGAATACTGCTCATAAAGTAGAAGAGAAAAATGCTGGTATATATAGGCAAAAATAAGGTTTATTTTATTTTATTTTATTTTATGTAATCTCTGAGAACATACATTTTCCTCTCATGGCATCTGCCTTCTAATTTCTGATGTTAAATAAATCAGTTTCTAGTCATTAGGTTGACAAACATCTTATTTGCAATTGTCTAACTAAAAGAGCCCATCTAATCCCATCACAGTTAAGTACCTAGTTTGCAGGGAGCCATGTAATGAGACCTGTTATTTTTCTGGCCTACACAAATGAAAGGTCATCTTTAATATTTCTCATTTATCTTCTACAGCAACAAAAACTAATTTTGGTTCCCATTGGTGGCATATATTCAGATACCTTAGACTTTGGAGCCTTTTAGTATTAGAATCCTGGAAGCTAATTAAATTGGAGGTATAATGGGGTGGGAGCAGGGGGAGGGGAAGAACCTATTAAGCACTACTTCCCAACTGTAATAAAGGTGTATTTTTAACACAAATGGCTGCCTCAAAATCTTTTAGAGTTAGATAGGCCATAAGCTATAAAATATTAAAAAGGCAAAGGTTTGAAAGCCTCAAAAAAAAAAAAGGATGATCTCCATGAGGTCACTTAAATGCTATTCAGGTGAAAAGGGGAATTACAGAGGCTATCCAGAGTTAAACAGCAGGAGCAATAATGAGCTCTGGAAAAGAACACTAAACATCAAGATTGCTGAATAGGCTGGTTAAACATCAAAAGTTCTATTTTGAGGCAGGACAACAAAATAATCCTGTACACTTGTACACATACCACTGATGGACAGTATCATTAATTTGCTAAAGATAAATAATTCTGTCCTTTATCAGAGGGCAATGCTTTGCTTATCAAGGAAAGATCTAGTTCTAAAAAGCCAAATAATTTAAAGTTCTTTAGCATATCAAGAGTGAAAACAACCACGAAGAAGAAGGAAGAAAGATGCTTACCAGACTATCTAGTCCTCCTCCCAAGAGATCCACTGCTCCCACCTGCATGGACGATACCTGTGGCACATTGACTGGTGGACCGAGATCAAGGTTTAAAAGGTCCCCTAGAAGGTCACCTTGAGAGGGAATAACCTGAGTCTGTTCCAGGTTGGTGGCAGTGGTGGTGCCAACAGGGCTGTCACCTGCATCAGTGCTGCAGACACACATACAAAGAAGGGAAGAGAGAAAAATCAGTTTCACCTGAGACGTAATAAAGTGACAACAAGTGAATGTCAGTTATGTAAAACACTGCCCCCCCCCAGCGGGGGGGAGGGGAGGTTGATGTACATGAAGAAATAACAACAATTCTTATTTTCATCAAAATATAGTTATTAAAATGGAAAGGAATGTAATATAGCGTAATCAGTCAATTTTAATGGAGTACCTACTCTATGAGGAAGAGCTGCCTCTGATGCCGGTTGCTCAGCTGAGTGGCGCTTCTGCTGTGGGAGCACACTGACCACCAGGGGGAGCTCCCGGGTTGAGCGTCTGGCCCTGGTGATCAGTGCATCTCATAGCGATTGGTCATTTGGTTGTTCGATTGCTTAGGCTTTTATTTATTTTATTTTTTTAAGTTTTATTTATTTTTTATTAAATTATTATCTGTGTACATATCTTACCATTTCCCCCCACTCCCCGGCTTTTATATAAATACAGATAGCCTTAACTGCCTGAATATGCTGAAGTTTATGTGTATGTTCCCTTAATTGTCAGGTAATTTTTAAAACTTTTCTTAGGTAATGAAAATAGTATAATAAAAATACATATATGCCTGGCTGGTGTTGCTCAATGGTTGAGTGTTGACCAGTGAACTAGGAAGTCACAGTTCAATTCCCAGTCGGGGCATATGCAGAAGTTTGTGGGTTTGATCCCAGTGTGGGTCGTGCAGGAGGCACCTCATCAATGATTCTTAATCATTGATGTGTCTATCTCTTCTCCCTTGCTCTCTGAAATCAATAAAAAAAGTATTAAAAAAAAAAAAAAAAGATAGCTAAGTGTGCATGTAGTCTTTCCCCCCCCAAGTTTTCAACTCTGGGAAAATTTCTAGTCTCATCTTACTAAGAGATAAGCAACTTCCAAACTTGATCAGTTTAGAAGATCTTCATAATTTTCTAAGCCATACTCTTATCAACTCGTGGATTAGAAGCAAGGGATCTTTCATCCATTCTGTGGTCTTTCACCCATTGTGTGCATGTCTGGTCACAGCTATTCAGACAGAGCCCCAGGGCAGTATAGTAGAGGTCTGCTTCCATTTTGCAAACTTACTAGGTATAAAAGCATGAGGAAGACCAACTCTGTCTAAGCAAAGAGACATTTCTCACTCAAATCCATTTCACCTGCTTACCTCCCATGATGTATTGGCAAGTGTTTGCGATGGATTCCGTGACTTCCTTCCACAAAAGCATTGGGAGGCTTGTGGTACACAGAGGCCAAAGAACCGATGTGGCAGATCAGCTCATCCAGCAGAGTTGGCTCAATAAGATCTGTCTCCTCAGAGATCAGTGGCTTCTCAGACAAGACTACTTCTTTGGCTGTGACTGGGTCGGTTGAGAGAAGCCGCCAATAAATATAGCCCCTATCTCGAAGGTCAGGATTATCGGAATCCTAATGAAAAGACAAAGGCAAGAAGGTTTAAATGAAGCTGTTCAGAAACCCAAACTGCCAGATTTATTATCAAAGCAATGCTGTGACTTACACACCGTGGCTCTTTTTTTTTTTTTTAATATATATTTTTATTGATTTTTTACAGAGAGGAAGGGAGAGGGATAGAGAGCTAGAAACGTCGATGAAAGAAACACTGACCAGCTGCCTCTTGCACACCCCCTACTGGGGATGTGCCCGCAACCAATGTACATGCCCCTGACTGGAATAGAACCTGGGACCTTTCAGTCCGCAGACTGACGCTCTACTACTGAGCCAAACCGGTTTCAGCCACACCATGGCTCTTAAGACTCAACTTAGACTCAATACCATTTTAATAGTCATAATTCTATTAACTCTATGTTTCAATAAATCTAAACATAAATTGAGATGAGTTACTCTTAAAATTCAAAGCCAAGTTGGGAAAAGCAAAATAAAGTTTAGTCTAGTAAAAATTAGTGAAATGGCTTTGGGAGATACAAATGTTTTTTTAACTGCTATAATATTAACAGAATTATTAATGAAATACATCTTATATATTTCACTCATACCTTCTTTCTTCACTCAAATATTTAAGTATCTCCTATGGAGACACTGTCTAGACCCTGGAAATAGAGATAACAAACAACAGTGTCTGACTTTACTAAGCTCACAGGGTACTAATTATTACAATTTTATATGAGATGTAACTATTTTCTGTTAAAAGTTTTATCAATGCCACATCATGATTTAGAAGTGTGTAATATAAAAATAAGTTTCTCCCAATCATCTGGCCCTTCCCCACCTTTAACTCCCCACCCCCAAAATAGCCATGTTAAGTGTGTTATTTATCTTTCTAGACAGCTCCCACACATTCGCGTATTTATTTTACACAAAACCAGTTTCATACTATATATACTGCTCTGTAAGTTGCTTTCCACATTGGCACATACAGTTGTAGTCTGACACTGTATTTGTAGCACTCATTATTTACTGGTGCCCTACTGATGGACATTTAGATTGTTGCCTATCTATCTGTTTATGATCATTAAAAAGTGGCAATAAATATCCTGGTATATACCTCTGAGAGTTAAGTCTATATGGTGGCATTTATTTATGCACGAGTTGTTCCAGTGGTATCATGTTATTAAAAGCAACAATAAGTCCTTATTTCAATTTTTGTATTTAAAACTCACAAAAATAGTTTCTTTATACTAGGCCAGTTTGAGGGCTTCCACATGAGTTTATAAAATGAACAGGTTCATTATTTAGCCACCTAAAGCACATGTAATTTAACTCAATACCAGCAATGATCCAAGTGGTTTTAACTACATAGTTTTAAGTGGTTTTTCTTAGTCATATATTGTTGGTACTTACCAGCCATAAATATTAGGTTCTTATTTTACAAACTTGAGAAAAATATCCCAACTTCCAGTGGAAAAGAGTTATATAAATGTGGTTGTCCTTTTATGCAAACTACTCAGATACCATTAATTGTACAGAAAAGGCAAGCTCAGAGAAACTGCTTAATAATTATTTATAGTCAAATATGAAATAATATCCTCAATGATCTTAAAATTACTAAGGTCAGTTATAACCACTGGCTTATACACAACAGTGCTTTTGGCTGGGAAAGCAGGAATGGGTATTCTCAAAGTCATTCTTAACTTTCAGACTAGAAAAGCAGCATAACATAGTGGATAAGGTCAAAGACTCTGGAACCAGGCTACCTTGATTTGAGTCCTACCTCCACCCCATACTAACTAGGCCTATCTGTCTCAGTTTCCTCATTATAAAGTAGAATAGTAGCAGTACTGAGATTGAGCTAATATGTAAAGTGCTTACTAGAATGCCTGATACACAGTAGTAATCACTATACAAATGACTGTTGTTATGGTTTATTTATACCCTGCCCTGTTCTAGAAAGAAATTTAATGAAGTTTACAAAAATGCATGCCACAATGACCTACACATTTTCTACAGGAGATCCTTACATTTGATTCTAAGGTTTTGAACAATTGATATAAAAAAGAAATCTAGTCAGATAAGTAATTCAGAGGGTTAGATATCAATAACTATACACCAATGCATAGGAAATTCTAAAACTGGTTAGGAATGTTTGATGGAGCCCCATAAAGAAGAAAACAATGAAATGAACAATGACTTTGACAACAACAGATCCAAATATGATAGCTTCCATGACAACACTTACTACAGGATGATGGTATCAGTATGGGGTGGGCAACAGTAGATTTACAGTTGTGGGTACGAGAAACACATTGTAAAAATCATAACCTGCATGTCTTTTTCCATGCGAACAACTGTACTAGTATAACCGTAAACCTATTTTTGCCCATCCCTGTACATAAGTCACTGTTTTTATATTTTACAAATCTAAAGACTGGTGAACCCTTCCAATTAAAACGTGCACAAATGGGGCGTTTTATAATTTCCTATAATTTAAAATCAACCCCATGCTTTTTCCAGATTTCTTACCTGGGTTGCCAAACTCAAGACCTGCTGTACCAGTTCCTGTGTTTCTGATGGTTTCTTGAGAAACAGCTTCACTATGGCAGTAAGCAGAGTGAGCTGCACCTAAGCAGACATATTTTAATAAAGTGAAAGACATTAGCATTATTCATAACATCATTTCCAAAATTAATTACTATGGAGTCTTTCTGATTTTGATTAAGAGATAAAGATGAAAACTGAGCCAATATCAACAGTAGGAGTCAAAGGTACCCATCAACTGAAAACTAATAGACTACTATTTCCAAATTGCATTTTTGGCATCAAAATTGCTTATCTGTTTCTGACCCAGATAATTACCTATATTTCTAAAGTACATGCTAACATTGTGATGATAATAAAATCAGTTCCTGACCAAGTCCTTTATTTACTTACACCAAAAGCTGGAACATTGCATATATATGCATAACTCATGGACACATAACTCATATATGCAATGTTCCAGCTTTTGGTGTAAGTAAATAAAGGGGCAGGAATCTGGGGCAGGTTATAGGGGGGGTTAATGGGGGGAAGTGTGCCATATGTAATACTTTCAACAATAAAGATTAAAAAAAATAATAATAAATAAAAACTGGGGGAGAAAGAAAAAGCTACAACTTTGGGAGAACTCGGGAATCATCTGTCATACTGGGGCAAGAGCAAAGATAGTAGACTTATGCCAGATCACAGCCAAATAAGAGTGGAATGTTGAATTACAAAGCTACTGGCTTATATGTGTTCTTCGTATAGGCCTGTTAAAAATACTGATGGCCCTAGCCAGTTCTGCTCAGTGATTAGAGTATCGGCCTGCACACCAAAGGGTCACACATTCAATTCCCAATCAAGTGCAAGTACCTCGGTTATGGGTTTGAACCCCAGCCCAGATTGGGGCATGTGCAGGAGGCAACCAATTGATGTGTCTCTCTCACATTAATGTTTCTCTCTCTCTTCTCTCTCCCTCCCACCTCTCTCTCAATTAAAAAAAAAAAAAAAAAAAAAAAAAAAAAGTAAAGAAAAGAAAGAAAAAGAATTAAAGTTAAAAATATTGTTGGATTACTTACATAAACTTTAAATTGCCCCAAGTACTAATGCTAGAGGGTAGAGGGGAAGGATTTAATAATTTATCTACTTCTCTGGGCTTTGGCCCTAAGATTAGGTCTCTTACTTTTGATACAGGAGAGACAAAATGGAAAGGAATCTAATCATGCAGAGAATCTTTTCATACTGCACATACCAGCACTTACCGAAGTCCCAGATGAAAACACCCACTATAATAAACTATTAACGATTACCAACAGGAATGAGTAATCATCTTTGGGTGGCAGAAAATGAAAAAATGGTAACTACTGCTAAGCCAGTAGTTGTCAAAGTGTGGTTCTAGAGCAGCACCAGCAGCACCACCATCACCACCACCACCACCACCACACTGAGCCTTGTAAGAAAGGAAAATGCTTATTAGGCCCATCTCAGACCTACTAAGTCAGAAACTAGGGATAGAGGCCCATCAACCTGTGCTTTAACAAGTTTTCCAGGTATTTCTGAGGCTCATTAAAGTTTGAGGATCACTGGTCTAAGTTAAGTCAATTTGGTTCCACCAGAAATCAGCTAACTAAACTCGATCTTTAGGGAGGGAAAAATAAATAAATAAATAAATAAATAAATAAATAAATAAATAAATAAATAAATAAAAATATACACTCACACACACAAAAACACACACACACTTCTCTCACATGGAACTACTGAGCATTTACTTTCCCTAAAATCTTCCCCAAAAGATCTATGACATAGGATATAGATGAAAACTGACCTGGGTGCTCTCATCATGAAAACCCTCCAGGAAGCTCTCTAGTAACTCATCTGCATTGTCAATTCGTTCAGCATATTCTCCCACAATCCAAATCATAGCTGCTCGAGCGTCTGGTTCATCCAGCGAGTCTAAGTTCTCACACAGAGTGGCAATGATACTTTCATACCTGATACAACAATGAGGCAAAACTGAGAAATGTACTTAATAATAAAGGTTACAGATAAAACCACAGACAAGGACAGACAAGGTACTCAAACCTAGCTACCAAAATACAGAGGCCTTTTAGTACAGGATTATAAATGTATTAAAATTTCTTTCAATTATGTTTAATAAATAGACCTTAAATGCTTATAAAAGCTCATCCAATATTCCTTTCACAAGGAAAAATTAACCTGTGGTACAAGGTAATACCGCTATTATACATTTCTAAAAATCTTTCTTCCATGATTACAGAATTTTCCTATTATTCCATTTTGCCTTCATGGTAGATGAACAAATCCTACTCCACTTTTAGGAAAATGGAGTTAGATAACAGATCCAAACTAGAAACAGTAATTTTGTCCCTTAATTCACATCTCTCTTTAAAAAAAAAAAAAAAAAAAAGTTTTTATTGATTTTTAGAGAGAGAGGAAGGAGAGGGATATGGAGATAGAAACATGGATTGGCTGCCCTCTACTGAGATCAAGCCTGCTACCCAGGTATGTGCCCTTATTTTTTGTTTCATGGGTTGATGCTCAACCACTGAGCAACACTGGCCAGATAATCCACATCTCTTTTTATAGAGATCGTTATGGTCTTTTCTCCCAAAGTACCTGCACTAATGATGTTTTTCTCCAAAGAAAAAAGTAATTCAAATATTTATTTTTAATTTTACAGGTCTACAGCTCTCTCACTTTAACATGTTGAATCCATCTCCTTGGCTAATGTAGTTTTAAACATCCAAATGACATTATATATTAGATGTAGACAAATAAATAATACATTTCATTATTTGCTCTACTTCCACTGAATAAACCAGGCTTTTGATAATTCTTTCTTAAAATTAAATTGTCTTACCCCTTACTAATATAAATCAGAAATGGACACATTTCTCTACCAATCATATTGTGATTATACATATCCACCCTTAATCAAGAAATTTAGAAACTAACATTCCTCTTTTCTGGAGAGTGGCAAAACTATATGATTATTTTTCCAAAATACCATTTCCAAAATTTAAAAAATATATACATAAAACCAGATGCCTGGTGCACAAAAGTCATGCCGTCAGCCTGATGGTGGTCAGACAATTTAATCATCTAAACTGAGACATTTCTGAGAGTGAAAGGGAGCACAATCATTGTTATGCCAGTAACAGGTGTAAACTGGGATTATACATGGAGAATCTGAAATATATGGGTATCCTATTTAATAGTAACTTCGCTACCAAAAAATCTGGTCAATTTCAATACATGCCAATCAACAGTGCATATTTAGAGTTTCAATTCTTCTAAAAGCAATAAAGAAGGTGAAAAATTAGGTTTTAATCCCTGTGCTAACTACCTTATATGTTTCTGATTTTTAATAAAGTATCCCATTATGACCAGTTACACATTACAAAAAATAATTCTTACCTAGCCAATTTCAAAGTGCTTTACTTAAACATCTCCTAAATGATTTGAGAAAGAGGGGTGGAAGTATTTAGACATACTTGTTGGGATACTTGCGGAAGATGTCCCTGATGACAACTATTGCCTCTTGGACCACATAATTTACTTTGGTTTGGATGAGATCAAGCAATGTGCTCACACAACGTTCTGCAGATTGCTGTGAAGAGGAACATAATAAATGAGAAGTCAGAGATATATCCAATAATATTTTTTTTTAAATTCAGAAGAATGCAGGCACATCAACTAACTAGACTAAAAGATCAGGCATTTAAATTGACCAAGCAATCCTAGAGGGCTGGGCTATCTGACGGAGATATATAGAGTTATAGATACAGACATATACTGGCAGGTGAATCCAATTAAATGAAAAGAATCATCTTATATATCCAGGAGAATAAAATGGGAATAAGGCAAGGTAGTTCTTTATCTGGAGTTCATGAGTAAATGGAGACCAGAAAGGCAACTTTAAACTCTTGAAATGTAATTGCCAAATTTTATATATGCATACAAGCATATTTTCCAGGGAGAGAGTCCACAGCTTTCATGGTAGTTTCAAAGTTATCAGTGATTTAAAAAACTCTTAAATAAAACCTGCTATCTTTTGGGTTATATACTAAAACCCTACGTCTTAGATAAACTGCAATTTCTGAGTTTTTAATTAATCTATAAAATGGAATTTAATATAGTAATCTTTCATTGATGAAGGGAGTATGAAAGAATACACATGACAAAATTAATACATTGAAATTGTAAGTCACAGGTTTTAAAAGGAGATGGGCTCCAGATGAGAAATTCAAAAAGGTCACAGTTCCAGTCTCAGAAAGTAAAACCAGAAACATGATTAAAATGATTTCCTCTCTAGATGAGAGGAACCAGGGATAACTGCTTTTCATTAAAAAAGTTTAACTATTTTAACTATGAGTTTTATTATTTTGATAAACTTTAAAAATACATTCTAAAGAAAGAAGTAAAGAGAACACTCAGAATCCCATAACATGATCACAGCTACCATCAGACACTTGCCTCCACCTTGATGGCACACCTTCCAATGGCCCGCACAGCTTTGCGAACAAAGTCAACATCCACCTCCGTGGCATATTCCTTTAGCTCTGCCAGAACCTGTTAAAAATCCAGGAAGTGAACAAGCATCAAGGATTATCAAACAGCAGTTTAACAGCCTGGCTTTTTAGGAAGGCCAGACCTTAAGATCTAAGTCATTATGAGTCTACAAAAAGTCTGACCTGAGCAATATTGGCTTGAGATGCCAAACGAATCATGATGTCCAACTTCTCTAGTTTAACATAGATGGGATCATTATACTTCACAAAGAAGACTTTGATTTCCTGCTTTAAGATTTCAGGCCTGCGATACATAGAAATACAAGATAAGGAAGGTGAAGCATTTATAGATATTTCCCGAATCTGTATTAATATCTCATCTATGCCTACCTGATCTCCTCCCACCTTTCCCCCCTCAGGAAAAGAACTCATAAACTTCCCTTACACCCATCTAATCAGTTCCATTTAGCGGACTAATTTTATCCTTTAAAGAGTCAGGGTACATGCAGTGAAAAACTGCTAGAAGAACAGCAATCTGGTTCTACACAATGACATAAACCAGTGGTCGGCAAACTGCGGTTCACGAGCTACATGCAGTTCTTTGGCCCCTTGAGTGTGGCTCTTCCACAAAATATCACGTGCGATTGAAACTTCGTGGCCCATGCGCAGAAGTCGGTTTTCTGCTCTCAAAAGAAACTTCAATTGTGCTGTTGATATTTAGCTCTGTTGACTAGTGAGTTTGCCGACCATTGACCTAAACCATATTAAGCAGGCACTAGCTAGTATGCTATTAAGAGACCCCTAAAATAACAAACTGCATTTTGAGAAACAACAGACATTTATTATAGGAATACTCCAAAATCAATAGTTAGCCTCCTGATCCAGAGCAAGCTGTTTAGCCATGCAACATTCTCATTTCTATGCATTAAAAAGAGATTAACACTGGCCTCTTTAATATTGGTATTATTAAACTTAATTAAAAATTACAAACACTTTAATCACCAATTCACTTTTTCCCAACCTTTTCTGAACAATTAGGTTGATGTTCCTCAGGGCGACATACTGCACCTCTGGCTCCCCTGACAGCAAAGTGACAAGTGGAGGGGCCAGCTTCTTCAGCAGCATGTTGTAGTAGTCAGAGTCCTTGGGTAACAACTCCAGAAATTTCATTAGGACTTTTACTGCTGAAAGCACCACTGCTGAGTTGGCATGAGATAGCCGGGGAGTTACCCGCTCACAGATGCTGAGGGATAAAAAAGGAAAATTATCACCTTAAGTTGTAATTTCTTTGCTCAGTACAGTCTATAAGGCAATTTGTCAGAGTCCCATAGGCCAAGTATCAAGGAATTAGAGAATCAGTTAGAAAAGTCCAAGCTCCATGCGTAGGTAAAATTGTAATCCAACATTGCAGAAGCCTCATTCCCAGCAAACTACAGGCAGAGCAGGGACATCAGAAGACTAAGAAACCAGCAATAAGGGGTTTTCAAACTGGAAGGAAACTAGCCAATACCCCAAACACTTGAAGTTCACACCATTTACCTTCTAGTTTTATAGTCCTCTCTGTCGCCCCATATTATGCAAGGGCTCCCTGCCTCACAGCCCATTTCTCCTCAACCTATAGGAAGTCAAATTAAGCATTCTGAGAGTGATTTCATACTGACAGGTATTAACCAACTGTGGTTGAAGTTTTCACTGTTAAAATGCAGTAGGGGGTGGGTTAACAAAGAAAACTACCCAACCCTTTGCCTTCAGAATAAGGGAATCTCTGAAAGGTTTTTGTTTGTTTTTTAACAACTGTACACCATTGCAATATTCTCCCAATCTATTCCCTTTCTTCTAGCCACTGTCACCCACTTTAATGCTTCATGAAATCTTGAATATTTAATTATCTGTGGAGGGGTCTTCAGAAATAAACCTAATCTTAATAGCTCTCGGGCAATGTAAATGGCTGATTACTGGTATATCCGGTAAAAGACACAAGATAAATACACTGTGTTTCTTTTCCCTCCCTCCTGAATCTGCTTGGCTAACTCCCTGACCTGCTTCAGGTCTTTATACAAATGCCACTTCTCAGTTAGGCCTTCCCTGACCACCCTTTTATAAAATACAGCTCATCCCAATGCCCAGCATATCTTAATCTCCTCCGTTTTATCTCTCTCATGAACACATCATCTGGCATATGATATATATCTTTATTTCTGCGCCATCCCTCAGAATGAATATTCTACGAGGGCTATGATTTATCTGTCCACTGTTGTATCCTCAGGGCCTGTAGCAGTGCCTAGTACATAACTTGGGCTATATTTCCTGAGTGAATGAATGAGTAAGTGTGAGATGTCAATGACCAACAGAAAATAAATTCTATATAAAGTTCTTTTCAGAAGATATCTGTTCTTCCAATGATGGAACTAAACTATCAGGTGAAATTTTGCTACTAAATTCAGAGGGAATAACTTCCCAGACAAGCAAAGAGTACTTATGTTATAGAAATTTGAGCTTCAGCCAGGCAAAGGTTCTTATCTACCATAGTAAAATGTCAGCTTAACGAAGAGCCAACGTTTCCTCAAAAGATTACAAGTTCAGCCCTGGCTGGTTTGCTCAGTGGATAGAGTATCAGCCTGCGGACTGAAGGGTCTCAGGTTTGATTCCCATCAAGGGCATGTGCCTGAGTTGTGGGCTTGATCCCAATGGGGGATGCGTGGGAGGCAGCCGATCAGTGGTTGTCTCTCATCACTGATGTTTCTATCTCTCTCTCCATCTCCCTTTCTCTCTGAAATTAATATATATATATATATATATATTATATATTATATATATATTATATAATATATATTATATATATATTATATAATATATAATATATAATATATATTATATAATATATATATTAATATATATATATATATTTATATATATATATATATATATTTTTAATAAAATAAAAAAGATTGCAAGTTCAATTCCCAGTCAGGGTGTGTATCGGTGGCAAGCAATTGGTCTCTCTCTCTCTCTCTCTCTCCTCTGCCTCCCTCCCCCTCTCCCTATCTCTAAAATCAATGTACAATTTCTGATAGTCAAAGAAAATGTGAAACACTCTAATGGCCAAGGGCTGAGCTGAATAACCCAGTCAAAATTTCCAAATTCAGACTGACATGACTTCTATAGTAATGGAAGACATCATATATTTTGCTGGCTCCAACATACTTTTTTTTAATACTGAATTATAGGTACAGCTCAACTCAATAACTAGTATAAAGCCAATTAATCTGATTAAATAAAAAATTTGTTGTATGGGAGATGTAAGGTGATGATGATATAGCACAGTATAAATATACTGTTCAAACAAGAAATGAAAAACACACATCTCTTAGAAAGAGCTATTTTGCATGGTTTACTCCACTACCTGAAATGTTCCTAAAAATCTGGTAGAAAATACCATGGGGATAGCAGTATCTATCACATAAGCCACTGATCTTCAACACAATAGTCTTTTATTCTAATACAAATACTAGAACTTATTAAACCAGTTAAGACTCCAAGATACTCTCCAGAACCCCAGACTGACCTCTGCGCCTCCCGGTCATCTTTAGGGTTGTAGTTGGACAGGCAGTCCAGGATGAAAATCTGGCCCCATTCAGTGCACTCATTCAGGGCTGTCAGCAGCTTATTAATGTTCTGTGGGTTCAAATCGAGTAAGTTGCTGTTTGGGTGAGATTCACTGATTTCAGATAATGCTGCTACAGCATTAGCCACCACCTGGGGAAAAAGAAGATACGACCTTTATTTACCAAGAACAGGACAACTATAACCTCTCAATCACAGTCCTCAAGTCATTCCTGAATGTCTTACCAGTCTATTAAAAATAAACTACTTCTAAAACATCTATTAAACCTCCAATGATGGCATATTCAGCTTCCTAGTGGTCAGACAACCCAGAATTAAAACAATTCATATATTAGCAGAAAGTCACATAATTTTCTATTAAAACATTAACAGTATTAGTAGTACTCAAAACTATCAATAGAATCAAGATATGAACAGCTAAAAAAAAAAAAAAAAAAAGCAGTGAAGTTTTAATATAAAACACACACATTAGGCAATGAAGAGAAAAACCTAGGCCAAATAATTTTATAGATGAATGGGTATGCATGTATTGGGGGAGGGAAAGTGGCGAGGGAGATGACACCATCAAGAAAGTTTGAACTTGAAACCATAGACCCCTATCTACACATATAAAAGGCTAATATGCAAAGTGTCCCCACGGGAATTCAACCAGGAGACCGGGAGTTCTATCATTCACATGATTTACACTGACCACCAGGGAGTGGCGTGGAATGAAGGAAGACACTGGCCAGCAGTCAGAAGGCCCTGATTGGCCCTGATTTGAGAGAGAGGAAGGGAGAGAGAAATATCAATGTGAAAGAGAAACTTCATTCTTGGTTATCTCCTATATACACCCTGACCGCAGACTGAACTGGTAACCTAGGTATATGCCCTAATCAAACATCAAACCCATAATCTTTTGTTGTTCTGGACAACCACTCAACCAACTGAGCCACCCAGCCAGGACTCAAAATAGTTTAGGTCTAATTTCTCCAGAAAAGAATTTACTATGTGAATGTATACAAATATCAAAGGAATCAGAACCCTTTAAATTAATGCTGTACCAATAATTTTACCCTTTGCCATTAGGTAATGGTAGCAACAGTGCTCCTCTCATGTGCTCTCCTAAGCCAGCTCCTTTAGTAGGCGCTTTTTATGCAACAGTTCAATTAATACGTTCCAAAACTATCTAAGATGGTAGCCCTCAACTGTAAAGAAAGAAAATGAGGCTTAGTGAAGTTAAGCCAGGACTTAACAGAGTGAAATTTTTATTCAAAGTCTGTCTTTTTTCTTTCAAATAGCATCTCACTAAAAATCAGCTTTAACTAAAGTATAAATGATAAAACAGCTGCAAGAAAATGAGGTCTATGTGATCCCCCAAAACAGAGAATGAAAAAATAATAAAATTCTATTACTTATAACAAAGTACACTACACCTTTAGGAACCAGCCTGGCGGTTGACATAACCCCAAGAGTAGTCACATCTTGATCAACATTTTACTCGTAAGATTTCAAAGTCATTTCTGCAGATGTTCTAATGCTATGACATCTAGGATGCCCTTCTGAAGTGAGCTACAAGAAAACTACTAAGGCAGAACACCCTAGAAGCATTCATTTCATTTGTAGGAGATTCTAATATTTGCTGGTACAGTGCTGCCCCCATGTGGAGCAACTTCTGGGGGGGGGGGGTGAAGTGGAACAAAACTACTTTTTAAAAAAATTAATCCTCACCTAAGGATATTTTTCCATTGATTTTTAGGGACAGTGGAAGGTAGGTAGGGGAAGAGAGACAGAGAGAAACATCAATGTGAGAGTCACGCCGACTGGTTGCCTCTTTCAAGCGCTCCAACCCACCAGGGCCTGGGATGAAACCTGCAACCCAGGTATGTGCCCTTGACCAGGAATTGACCAGGGACTTTTTGGTGCACAGGCCAGTGTTCTAACCAATGAGAAACACCAGCCAGGGCCTGACCCACATTCTTAGCCCCATTGGATATTTAACAAGTTTCCACAAGTACATGATCTCATGCTCATCTAGAGGCCCAAATCTTCTTGTTTGTCTTCAGGTAGTAAATTTCAAAAATGGTTGCTCAGAGTAACAGGGTGAATCAAAAGCAGTGTCAAAACCACAACTTGGTACCAGCTAAATATTTTATAAAACAAATACGATTGCCTTAAACATTTATTTCTTTGTGGAATTTTTTTAAAAAGTAGCACATGGTATTGCTTGAGGGGAAAAAGGCAGGATTGAATCAGAATTCTAATACTGGTGGCGATACCCTAACAAAAGTCTATGCCTAGGCGGTGGTGGAAGATTCCTGATGGCAGCACCACAGTATAATACTTAAAAAAATGTACTGCTTCACCCTTTGACCTCGATACTAAATTTAATGGATAATGAGAAGTCAAGACTACTCAAAGACTAAGATAAGATAAACCATATGAAATGTCAAAGCAGAAATGTGAGCAGGTAATTTGCAAATGAGAGACAATGTAAATTCCTACTCTCTATTTCAAAAAGTAAAAAAAAATATTCAGAGGTTATCTATTGATTAACTCATAATGTTATTTACCTCCTAGTAAATATTGCCATTAGGCAAAAATGGAAGAAAAATTTCTACATTCTTTCATCATCTTGTATTGATACTTAGAACTCAATACAAATGAGCTTCAGTTACTAGCAGAGTCAACGTAATACTTGAGACTTGGCTCCTCATTATATAGGCAAAGTTTAAAATGTCAATAAGAGAAATAAAAGATCCACAAACTTTAAGGTGTTACATTTAAAACATAATCATGGATTATATATGCACAGACAATAGGGTAGTGAAGACCTGGGGCAGGGGGTGAACCAGAAGGACTAGATGGGAGGGCAAAAGGGGGACACATATAATACTTTCAACAATAAAAAATTTTTTTTAAAAAAGAACATAATCAAGTTGGCTAAAAAGAATCTTGTTGCCCAGCCAGCGTGGCTCAGTGGTTCAGTGCCAACCTATGAAACAAGAGGTCACGGTTCGATTCTCAGTCAGGACACATGCCTAGGTTGTGGGCTTGATCCCCTGTGTGGCATGCAGGAGGCAGTTGATCAATGATTCTCTCTCATCATGGATGTTCCTATCTCTCCATCTCCCTACTTCAATTCAATTAAAAAAACAAAACAAAACATATTTAAAGAATCTTACTCTGGAATTCTACTATAGAAGAATGCATTAAATAATTAGACAATAGAGATAATTTTGATTCAGTTTCTATTCTCACACCACCAGAAAATACCACAAACATCTTTCTGAAGAAATAATCTTTTTTTTTAAAAAAAAAATATATATTTTATTGATTTTGTACAGAGAGGAAGGGAGAGAGATAGCTAGAAACATCGATGAGAGAGTCATCGATCAGCTGCCTCTTGCACACCCCCTACTGAGGATATGCCCGCAACCAAGGTACATGCCCTTGACCGGAATCGAACCCGGGACCTTTCAGTCCCCAAGTCGACTCTCTATCCATTGAGCCAAACCAGTCTCGGCTGAAGAAATAATCTTTAAATATTTTATAAAAATTTAACGTGAAACTTCAAGAAAATGATGAAAGGACTGATTTGTTTCTACGCCAACAATTTTCAACCCTTTCCATATCATGACACACAAACTAATCGCTAAAATTCTGGGACACACCAAAAAATCTATTTTTTGCCAATCTGATAAAAAAAAAAAAAAATTAAAGGTATAACTTTGATTCATTCACATTGGACAGCTACTGTTGTATTAGCTATTATCATTTTTTGTTTGTTTGTTTGTTTGTTTGACAATCTAAGGGGACTGCATGTTGTAAAAATTCTGGCGGCATACCAGTTGTAAATCACTGTTCTAAACATATACAGGGCTAAGTATGATACAAAGTTTTGCTTTAAGACCCTTATATTTTAGTACTTGGTTTCACCTCAGAAACACCAAGGGTGTGAGATAGACAAATCTGTGGGACACACAGAAATAACGCTCCCCACAGCTAACCTATTGTTCAATGTCCCAAAGGTAAGATTTGCTTTAAACATACTTTTTAAAGTAACCCATTTAAAATACTGCTCTTTTATAAAGCAGAAGTCTATTACCATTGGATTTGAATCTGCTATGAGATCCCGCAGAGAATCCAGAAATCCCTGATCTTCCACCATCTGGGCATTGATATCATGGAGCTTTGCCACGCAGACTGCTGCTGTTTTCCGAACATAAGGATCTTCATCCTTCAAGCACTTTCGGAGGGGCTCACAGAGATATTCTGTGATCTTGTCCACTCGGATGCATCCCATGGTTCTAACTGCCAAGGCCCGAATCAGAGGATTGGGATCTTCACAGTCCTATAAAAGACAATCCGTAACAACTATAGGTATACATGGTGACTGAAAGTAAACAGTCTAGTCTGTATAAGCCATAAAAGAATATTCATTAACACAAGTTAATGAATCCAAATCTCCCATGCTCTTCCTTTCCTTTCCTAAGTACAAACCTTAGTTGCCTATAAGAATCTAAGTTAGCAATTCATTTTAACTGTCTTATATACACAATAAAGAAATGCCAGCAGTAGTTGCAGGACTAAGCAAAAGCCTAGGGAGCTGAAGTTACCAACCTCATGGCCATTTGTGGACTCGCCCTAAAACAAAACAGGCCTTTTGGCTTATATTCTGGTGGGAGGGAGAGAGAAGAAAATGAGGAATTGGAAAGATGAGTCCCATTCCACAGTCGGTTTGCAAATAACAAGTAGGGAGAAAAGGGAGCTTGGTCTACAGGCAAGAAAGCAGAGTGCAGAAGCTGGCGAGGGCCATACTGAAGGAAGTTCCTGGGTTAAGCTGCAGAAGGCCTTCTGACATAATTAATAAACATTCTCCTTTATTAGCAAGTGCTCTTCCAAATACAGTACAAACAAAACACTCAGTAAGAAGGAACATTCCTTAAATTGCCCTACTTAAAAATATTTCTTCAAACATTATAAACTTATGTGTGCTAACTTCAAAAATGTAAACTAGCCCTAGCTGGTTTCACTCACTAGATAGAGTGTCGGCCTGTGGACTGAAGGGTCCCGGGTTCAATTACAACTAAGGGCACATGCCGGGTTGTGGGTTCCATCCCCAGTTTGGGGCATGGAGGAGACAGCCAATCAATGATTCCTTCTCATCACTGATGTTTCTAGCTCTCTCTCCCTCTCCCTTCTTCTCTGAAATCAATAAAAATATATTTAAAAAAAGAAATGCAAAAAAAAAAAAAAATGCTATCTCTATGGGTGTGGATGTGAAAGGGGGGTGGGAAAAGTTATAAGGGAACAAATGGTGATGAAAAAAATAAAGTAATTTTTTTGAGGATTTACTAACTAAATCCTCAAAAAAATGCCATATATGTGTGTGTGTGTGTGTGTGTGTGTGTGTGTGTGTGTATACACATATATATATATTTCAGAGAGGAAGGGAGAAGGAGAGAAAGATAGAAACATCATGATGAGAAGGAATCAATGATTGGTGCCTTCTGCACGCCTCACACTGGGGATCAAGCCCGCAATCTGGCATGTGCCCTTGACTGGAATCGAACCTAGGACCTTTCAATCTGCAGGCTGAAGTTCTAACAACTGAGCCAAACTGGCTAGGGTCTCTCTCTCTCTGTCTCTCTCTCTCTCTCTCTCAGTTAAATTCCAGATAGAAAAGAATATATTAGTAGGAAGAATTTCATTATTATGTCCATCAAATTTAATGAACAAAAATTTGACTGAATATTCAATAATGTTAAGGAATTTTTTTAATAGTCAATTTTTAAAGATGTGACAATAGTATCGTGGTTATCTTTTAAAAAAAGATCTTATTCTGACAAAATATAAGGATGAAATGATTTTTCATCCTTATGATGTTTGGGATTTGCTTTAAAATTATCCACTCGGAAAGGGAATGAAGATCAGAAATGTATAGGGAATACAAATTAAATAAGACTGGGCATGAGTTGATAACCACTGTAAGTACAAGATGGATACTTTTAATATTCCCTCTACTTAAATATGTTCGAAATTTGCCATAAGAAAAAAAAAGTAATCAAATGTTGTACGGCCTATTAAGTAATACAAAATAGAAGTAGAATCCTAGCTGGTATGGCTCAGTGGATAGAGTGTCGGCTGCGGACTGAAGGGTCCCAGGTTCAATTCCCGTCAAGGGCACAGGCCCAGGTTGCAAGCTTGATCCCCAGTAGTGGATGTGCAGGAGGCAGTCGATCAATGAGTCTCTCTCATCACTATGTTTCTATCTCTTTCCCTCTCTCCCTTTCTTTCTGAAATCAATAAAAAAAAAAAATACATTTTTTAAAAGATTAAATAAATAAACAAAATAGAAGTCGTACCTCCTATACTTTCCACTACTTATTACCTATAACCTGTTTTATAAAGATATTACAAAGAGAAAACAGGTTGCTGATACTACAATAATATGCCCACCCTGTCAGCCTTGAAAGCCTTTGTCAGTTCACAAAACACTGAGGTTTCACCTGGTTTTCTTCTCCCATCTGACAAGGATGCACGAAGCCCAGCTAACAGAAGGCTCACCATATGGTCTGAACTGGATGACAAACGTTGGCATATAGAAAGCTAAAACATGATCATTCCTAGTCACTGCCAGTCCTTCTCTAGAGGCTCTCTTTTGGAACAGAAGTTGCTTATTTGCAATGCAGACACTAAATATCAAGAGACACTTCTGAAAAGGTTACTTAACTAAAATAGAGTGCTCTTGAGTCCTTTAAGTTACCTTCACAAAGCTGTTGACAGCCATAATGGCCATGTCTGGCTGACTCTTGGCATAGTTCATCAAGTAGAGATACACCAGCTTCTTTAGTTCCAGGTTGTCAGTCTGCATACAGTTCACTACATCTGGAAAGAGAGAACTGAAAAGAGAGAACAGAGAAAGGAAAGGTGAACATACGGTGCCAATCTGTTGAATAAAACATGAAAAAAATTAGCCTTATTTTACAAGTAATTTGATGCAAGGACAAATATTCCCACAGTGATAATTGTTATTACAGAAATGAATTATTAAAGAAATTATAGTACTGGTCCTAAGAGGTCTCTAAAAATAGATTTTTTAAAAATCCTGGCCAAGTAACTCAGTTGGTTAAGAGCATCATCCTAATACACCAAAGTTTTAGGTTTAATCCTGGTCAGGGCACATACAAGAATCAATCAATGAATACATGAATAAGTGGAACAACAAATTGATGTATCTATTTCCCTAAAAATTTTTTAAATAAAAATAATTAAAAACACTTTTCATTATGAAAATTTTCCAACAAAAATAGAGAAAGAACTGTAAAGAACCCAATGTATCTATCACGCAGCTGAAAACAAATACTGATACATGCCCAATGTTGTTTCAGATTCTCTCCCTTACCAAGTCCCTAGCCCATTTAGTTGCTCTGGATTTTTTTTTTCAAACAAATCCTAGCCATTATAGCATTTCATACATAACAGTCTTGTGCATATCTTTAGAATTTTTGAAAAACCACTATTTTTATCACACACAAAAATTAACAGTAATTCTTCATATCACTAATTGCAATTTCAAACCACTACAGCTATTGTACATTTTTAATGGTCATATTTGTCCATCTTTGACCAGTAGGAACTTAATTTGGTTAGCTCCTGAGTCCTTGTGATACGACCCTTTATTTTCAGTAGCTTCCTTGTTTTCTGGCAGAATAAGATGCTCTATTCAGGCTCATCTTGTAATTTCTAATCCTATAACTGGAATCCATTTCTCTAAGACATCATGAATCCCTTTTCGTGGAACTTACTTATTTTTAACATACACATTCAGGCAAATGAAAATTTCAGTGTATGCAAATATAAAAGGACTCTTCCTAAGTTCAAGTCATTTAATGATTTATCATTCTCCTCTAAGGCCAATGGAAAGGAATTTATGTTTCCATTCACAAGTATCACCATTAGCTTAAAAGGGTAGAGTTTGTCAGATTTTAAAGTGTAATCTGAATTTAAAAACATAAATTAGCTACAATTTTATGGGAAGTTAGTAATTAACCTCTCCCCTAAAGCTACCAAAATACCTTATAAATTAAATACTTCTAAATATCTTCATACTAACACAGAAGAGAAATAGTTGGTAACATAGTATAGCTCCCACACACAGACAAAAACCAAATACAGAAACAGGAATTATTTACAAAAAGGAAGATATACTGCAAAGTCAAAGAATCCACTATATCTCCAATGAAGCAACAGTTTCTGCCCTGGAAAGCAAACTATTTCTTTAATTTTCATGTGTGTATCTTTCTTCGGTTCGTGTGCATGTAGATAATTAGTAAACACTAAAAACATTCTCTAACAATGAATGTTCTTTCCATTTCTCAGGGGAATAGATCATGTGCAAAACAATTGAAAGACAAATAAATGTGATACATTAGTCAATAGGAAACTGAACATCTTAAATAATTTAATTCAACAATCTGTACAAGAGCAGGAAGATCTTGATCAAGAATAGTCTAAGGCCCAGCCAGTTAGGTTCTGTGGTTGAGTATCAACCTATGAACCAGGAAGTCAATGTTTGATTACCAGTCAGGGCACATGTCCGGCTGCAGGCTCAATCCCCAGTTGGGGGCATGCAAGAGGCAGAGGATCAATGATTCTCTCTCATCAATGATGTTTCTATCTCTCTCTCCCCTCTCCCTTCCTCTCTGAAATCAATATATATTTTTAAAAAAGAGAATAGTCTAAGTTTCTACATAAAGACTGTTAAATATTATACCAAAGTATAAAGCTAAAAACATAAATTTTCCAATATGGTAGCCACTAGCAGATGTGGTTTGCAATGTGGTCAGTCCAAACTGAGATGTATATAGGGTGTCTCGAAAATGTAGACACACTTTGAATAATTATTAATCCCAACGGGTTAAATCTGAAAAGAAAGAAACATTAGAATTAATAATTATTCAAAGTGTGTATTTATTTTTTTGGGATACCCAATATATAAAATACACTGAATTAAAAATATAATGTAAAATATTTCATTAAAATTTTCATAGCGATTTTATGCTGAAATAATAATATTCCTGGTATATTGGATTAAATAAAATATATTATTAAAATTAATTTCATCCATTTTTAACTTTAATTTTAATGCGGCTATCAGAAATTTAAAATTGTGTATGTAGCTCACATTGTATTTCCATTGGATAGCGCTGAACTTGAGGTTACTTGCAGTGGGACTGAAATATAATCCAAAAACAGCTAACTCTATTGTTTCTTTGAGCTATCTTTCTAGGCACAGCATAAATTCCATCTACTCCAAGAAGAGTTCTTCAACTATTCCTGTTTAAATGGACCTCTCTTGTAGAGAACTCTTCTTGCCTTTAATATATACATTCTAGTACTTAATTATCTAACTATATCTTATTATTAAGGCTAAATGACACTTACTACCCTTTTGTCTGAATTATATGTGGTATAGTTCTAGGCACAAAATAAACAACCAGCAATTAACAGATTAACAAATAGTACTAACCAAGCATACAAAAGTAAGCTCAAAAAAAGTTTTAACTTTTCTGTAGAATATAGAAATAAACTTGGCAAGAACACAAAAGCCCCACCAATGAAGTACGCTAACTTTTACCAGTTCTTCCAACCTAAATTTATTTATTCCTTCAGCGACTGATCATGGGTAAGCAAACTTCAGCCTATGGGCCAAATTCAGCCCACCACCTACTTTTGTATGAGTAGTGAGCTAAAAATGGTTTTTACATATGAACATTTACAGATTTGATTATAGAAAGAATAATAGCTTTGAATCCCAATTAAGCAAAATTACACTCCCCAAAAAAGAATGCCAACTTCTTCTTTAGTAAATGTGTAGTACAAAAAAACAAAACTGTACTTACAACATGTTCAATTTTGTCAATAAAATCTTTGTGGAAAATACTTTTCTCTCATTATATACTTATCTACATAATATCAATTTTTTGCCCATTGGCTAGTTAAATCTAAAGTCTTTACTATCTTTAAAAAAAAAAAAAAAAAAAAGTCTTGCTCTTTACAAAAATAAAAAATGAAAAAAAGCTATCTTGCCCTTTATAGAAGTCTGCTGACCTCTAAGATATATGGTTACCTAAAAACAAGTTAAGAACCAAATGTGCTTATGTGCTAACAAACAAAACTCCAACAACAAAAACCTGCCTCAGAACAGCAGCACCTAGGGCACAAGAAGGTAACTGAGCCACTTCCTATTGCCACTGTTTCCACCTGAGCTCCAGATCTGGTTAGAGAAGCTGCTCTCACTTTTTGGGTCTCAAGACCCCTTTAAAACACTTAAAATTTTTTAAAAATATATTTTTTATTGATTTTCTACAGAGAGGGAGAGAAAGAGAGGGAAAAAAAGCTAGAAACATTGACGAGAGAGAATCACCGATCAGCTGCCTCTTGCACACCCCCCACTGGCACACGCCCTTGACCGGAATTGAACCTGGGACCTTTCAGTCCTCAGGCAGACGCTCTATCCATTGAGCCAAACCAGTTTCGGCCAATAAAACACTTTTAAAAATTACTGCCCGGCTGGCGTGGTTCAGTGGTTAAGCATCAATCTGTGAACTAAGAGGTGACAGTTCGATGGTCACATGGTTGCAGGCTCAATTCTCCCAATAGAGGGCATGCAGGAGGCAGCGAATCAATGATTCTCTCTCATCACTGATAGTTTCTCTTTCTCCCTCTTCTTTCCTCCCTGAAATCAATAAAAAAATATTTTAAAATAAATAAATAAAAATTACTGAGAACCCCAGAGAGTTTTTGTTCATGTGGGTTATATAAGTACTAATATTTTACCATATCAGGAATTAAAGCTGAGAAATTCTGCTCTGGCATTCAACCTGCTGTAGAATATTGTTTTGGTTGAAGTGTCCAGCTTCATACACATATATAAAACAGAAAAGGGAGGAGTATTTTAATAGCTTTTTCACATAACTTATCCTTCTTCAATATATTAAAGCTAGCCCTAGCTGGTTTGGCTCAGTGGGTAGAGCGTCAGCCAACGGACTGAAGGGTCCCAGGTTCGATTCCAGTCAAGGTACATGCCTGGGTTGTGGGTTTGGTTCCCACGAGGGGATGTGCAAGAGGCAACCAATCAATGATTTTCTCTTATTAATGATGTTTCCATCTCTCTTATCCCTCCCTTCCTATCTAAAATCAATAGATATTTTATTTTAAAAAAATATATTAAAGCTAGACAAACGGTTGTTTCACATCTCTTTCAGTCCACAAATAGTAGTTTCTTAAAAATTACTTACAGAATAGAGGATTTGGGGGGATAATAGGGAGGTAAGGTCACATATGTAATACCTTAATCAATAAAGAAATTAAAAAAAAAAAAGTTAAGTTACAAGGCAATCTGAACCATAAACTTTTAATACTTGGTTGCATTAAAATCTAGTCATTCATCATTTATTTTGATGTATCTTTTATCCATGGTAATTTTTAATATATGCACTGGTCATTTGGGAAATATTGGTTCAATGAGTTATGCAGATTTTCTCAATGTTGGCACATCTATATACATAAAGCAGTAATATGCAAATTAGCTGGGCATCTCCACCGGCTCAGGAGGAGCTGCGTGCACAGATAGATGGGAAGGAGGGGACTGCATGCCGCCCCCAGCCCCAGCAGACACACACCAGGGGTGGGGGCGTGCTCTGAGCGGCTGTGGGGTGGCTCAGAGCACACCTCCAGTGAGTGGCGGCAGCGGCCAGAAAGCAGCAGCCCCAGTCCCAGATGCCCGGCAGTGGCAGGAGCAAAGCAGCTCAGACCCAGTGGGTGGCAGCAGAAGCCAGAGCGAAGCAGCCCAGGTCCTGGGTGCTGGAGGGAAGCCGGTGCCGACAGCGAGGGGAAGGAAGGCCTACTCTTGCATGAATCTTCGTGCATCGGGCCTCTAGTTTCATTATATAACAGCAAATAAGCACATTCATTAATTTCAACACCAATCTCATCATGAAAGTATTGGGAAGCTAAGATGCAAGCTTTCTAACACTCCTAATTTTTACTTTGAAGTTTAAATTTATCCAATGTTATTTTTCCCCTTGAAGTGACATGTTCAGTTTATTCATTTTTGATAAAACGGCTCCCAAATACTGAAGTCTGATTAACTATAATTTACCTGTCAATCATCTTTTCACATGAAAATGGGCATTCTTACCCTAGCCAGTTTAGCTCAGTGGATAGAGCATCAGCCTGCAGACTGAAGGGTCCCTGGTTCGATTCTGGTCAAGGGCATGTGCCTTGGTTGCATGCTCGATCCCCAGTAGGGGACATGTAGGAGGCAACCTATCAATGATCCTCTCTCATCACCGACTGATGTTTTTATCTCTCTCCCCCTCTTCCCTTTCTCTCTGAAATCAATAAAAAATCTATTTTAAAAAATAAATAGCCCTAACCAGTTTAGCTCAGTGGATAGAGCGTCAGCCTGTGGAATGAAAGGTCCCAGGTTCGATTCTGGTCAAGAGCATGTACCTTGGTTGTGGGCACATCCCCAGTAGGGGGTATGTAGGAGGCAGGTGATTAATGTTTTTCTCCCATCAATGTTTCTAACTTTCTATTCCTCTCCCTTCTTCTCTGTAAAAAAAAAAAAAAAATCAATAAAATATATTTTTAAATAAATACAATAAATACGAGAGAGAGAGAGAGAGAGAGAGAGAGAGAGAGAGAGAGAGAGAGAGAGGGAGGGAGAGAGAAAGAGAGAGGAAGAAAGAGAGGAATGGAGGGAGGGAGGGAAAATGGGTGTTTTCAAATTTAAATACTTATGCCTGGGATTTTTTTTTTTCCAATTCAACTATCACTCTGCTATACAGCAGAAGTGCTTTATGCATAATTCCTATTTCATCATACAGAATATTAAAAAGGTTTAAAGGCTTAATAAAATAAAATTTGAATGTTTCACAAAAAATCCTAAGTGAAACTGCATTTATTCCCTGCAAGTACACGGTGATGAAAAATACAATGACTACCCTTACAGTTTGACACCACTGCCTTGACTCATGCTACCACTCCTGCAGGCAAATATCAACACAATGAAAAAGACTAATAACACCCAGGTATTATTGTAAGAATAGTTTTGACCTCACGGACCCCCCTGATAGGTTCTTGGGAATCCTCAGGAGCCTGCAGACAATCCTTACTTATTTCCGAATGGTATTATTAAATTACAGAAAGAAAACAAACACATTTTTAAAAACTGATTTTGTTAATACTGATTTTTATCTTGAATTCAGGAACTGAATGTAAAGTTGTAAAGTTGAGGGCACTGGCTTGAGCCAGTTAGAGAGCATATGCGCTTCTGCTTCTCAGTGTATTTTTATCATCTTCTAAGGCTACCTCACCAACAATTTGTAACTGTACCAGCTCTCAGGAGGGTTTATGCTAGATTGGCATGCAACAAAAATCAAACTGATTTCCCTCTTCCAAAAACACAAAGCAAAATAAAACTAACTTAAATCACAGAATATAAAAGCAACTATTTTCTGATAACATTTTCAGGGACAAACCCATTCTTATAAGTTCTATGATTATAGTAATTTTAAATGAAAAGCAGTAAAAGCCATAAAATAGGGTCTGGGTCTAAATCAGGCCAACGGCAGGAGTGCCTACCCTTACCTGACATCCTTCCCCACAGTCATAGCAGCAATCACTTTCTTCACAGCCTCCTTCCGCTTTTCCTTCTTTTCATTGTTGAGTTCAGCCTTTAATTCAAAGATTTCTCCTAGAAAAGAAGAGAGCAAAATGGATGAATTTCCAGGACCAAAGATCTAAAGCAGAATACTGTTATGTAATAAGTAACATCATGAAAGTTGCCCAGAGGTTTAAAAATTATAGGACAGGTACAATTCAAATCCTTAGAATAGTAACTAACCTATTCATAAGGACACCATCTTTCAGGTTATGGCCAGAAAGGAAGATGCAATCCAGATCTTAGGAGGCTTAGGAGTGGGGAAAAGTAAATCTCATAATATCTTACTACAATGGGGTGAAAATGGAATCTGAGGAATGTTCTTCCATCACAATTTCAATGTTCTGGAGGAAAAATAAATGTAGGCAGGAGAAAGGTTCACAAATCAGTGTTTTCAGAACACCAAAGACTACAGATATCATCTCTTTACCTACTCTTAACTTCACAAATGAAGACCTGAGGCTCAAAGATCTCAGAGTGAGTGACAGAGTATCTCCTGAATCCAGAGATTCTCAACCTTGGCCACACACTATTATCTGGGAAGTATTTAAAAATAATGCTCAGGCTCTACTTTGGACCAAATAAATAAGAATGTCAGGGAGTAGAATTCTTACATTCATATTTTCAAAGTTCACACAAGTAATTCCAATGCAAAAACAGGGTTGAAAATCACCGCTCTCCTCTAATTGGTAATTTACGAAGTTAATGGGACCCCGGGCCAGTTTGCTCAGTGGATAGCGTGTTGGCCTGTGAACTGAAGGGTCTTGGGTTTGATTCTGATCAAGTGCGCATGCCCAGGTTGTGGGCTAGATCCCCATCGGGGGGCATGCAGGAGGCAGCCAATCAATGATTATCTCTCAACATTGACATTTCTACCTCTCTCCCCCTCTGAAAGCAATAAAGATATATTTTTTTAAAAAGTTAATGGGAACGGAGGAGGACTGAGCAAAAAAGAGAAAAAGCTCATGGACACAGACAAGTGTGGTGATTGTAGGTGGGGGGGGGGGGTGGAGGTGGAAGAGGTAAAGGGGGATAAATGGTGATGGAAAAGTAATATAAGAGAAGCTAATGGGGGAATAAAAAAAATTAATGGTCTTTTATTCAATCACTCTAACAAAAGCAATGTACCAGACTCATTTCTAAAGGAATAATCTCGAATAACTGACTGCTCTATGGAATGGCAGGGCTGTCACCACTACTGTAAGGCCAGGCTCACCTATCTTCAGAAAGCTGGACCTGAAATAAGCAAAGGTTACAACCCTCACTGGTTTTAAAAGAAAATATACCACCACTTCCATCTTAAACTCTTCTAAAATACTGCCTCATTTTTCCCCATCTTTATGTTAGTTCTTGATGTTCATTTAACCAGATGTTCACCGGTCAGTATAGAAATTGTGGGGACAGCAACTGTGTGATCTGCTGAAGCCTCTACATGTGATGGATGAAACAAAGAAACACAGCCATTGAACAATAAAAAAGAGTGTATTATATCAATATCCATTGCCAACAATGCAAACAAATTCATGTCACAAAAACTGCTGTTTTATTTTATCAACAGCTGCAAAAACAGTACAGCCAGAAAAGCTAGACTCTTTTAAGAGTCATTCTCCTCTTCATCAAGTCCTCTGCTGCCAAATCTAGCTCTTAGGGCTCTTTCCCATCATTTATTTCTGGGAACAGTAAAAGACAAGCAGCAGGACTTCAGAAAGTCTGAATTGTGAATAGCTGTAGGAGTTGAAGAATCAAAACAGGATGTAACTGAAATCATTCCAACTCCAACAGCATATACTTAAAGAATATGTTCCACTGGCAATTCTGGTGGGTGTTGCAGGAAGTAAAAGGAACATAGTCTATTCATTTTTAAAATATGGTATTTACCCAGCCATGATTCATCTATAAATCTCAAAGTTTTACAAGTTCCTAAATAAAAAGGTACCAGAATAGATTACAAGAAAATGATTGAAGAGGTAGGTGAGTTTTTAAATTATAATTTTTATGTCAAAAAAGACAATATATTCTTCTCAAAACCCATGAAATGTTAACAGAAGAAATACATCCATTTCAAAATAATAAAATCAGATAAAAGCTGGAAAATGAATGGCAAGGAGGCTAGAGGCTTTTGTGAGGTGTAAGCAATAAAGACAGGAAGGAAGCAGCTGTGAGGAGCTAAGGAGGAGCTCTAAGTGAAGCAAGGTTATCTCATACATACAACTTTTAAATTCTTACCTTTTCGCCCCTTCTCCTCCCCTTAAATCTACCAAGCACTGCTAGCAGCTAGCAATAGTTCTCAATCTTGGCCAGACATTAGAAAAGTTTAGAGATTTTTAAAATCCTCTCCTCCCCGAGGCATATCCCAGATCAATGAAATCAGGATATCTGGGTATAAAACCTGGACATCAGTATTGTTTTTAATTCATGAGATAACTCCAATGTGTAGGTAAGGTTGAAAGCCACTGACCAGTAGGCAGTTGATATAATTAAGCAACAGACTATAGAGCTTCCTGTATTGTGATAGAAGAGCTTGTTTACCCTTACATAACTCCAAATGATGGAACAGGACAAATATGCTTGTGCTTTCTAGAAAATATCCTGGTGTTCCTTGCTCACTATAGGTCACTATAATGTGCCCTCCTACTTCTCCCCCCACCCCTTTTCTGGATCATTGCAATTTTACAAGATTCCCCAATTGTTACCATTATGCCATAGCTGTTTTATCATGCTTTCTATAAATTTACAATTTTTTTTTCCTGAATCATTTTAATAGGAAGCTGCAGACATCATCTCTTCAGCTCAAAATGTCAGTCTATAATCTCTAAGAACAAAAAATTATCTTACATAGCCATAATACAATTATCAAAATCAGGAAATTTAACACTGATACATTATCATCATATAGACCATACTCACAGATCTTGATAATGTCCTTTATAGCAATTTTACACCCATTCCCCTTAGGCCAAGATCCAATTCAGGGTCATGCTTTACATTTATTGTCATGTCTATTTAATCTCCTTTAACCTGAAACGGTTCTTCAGCCTTTGTCTTTCATGATAATGACTTTTGTTTTAAAGCCAGTTATTTTATCGCATGTTCTCAGCTTGGGTTTTTCATTGTGTCCCTTCATGATTACATTGACGTTAGGCATTTTGGCAGACATAATTCATAAATGATGGTATGTTCTACTCAGTGCATCACATCAAGAGGATAATGTTAATTTGTTCCATTATTGGTGATGTTAACACCAAATACTTGGTTAAAGTGGCAACTGCCAGGTCCTGACACTGTAAAGGATACTTTGGAGACTATTTAAATATCCTATTCCTCATCAAACTTTCCCCTGCCAGTTATTTCAGGATCCACTGATGACTCTTGCCTGAATCAACTACAACTACAATTTGTGTGTGTGTGTGTATACACACATATATATTCAATTGTTTACAATTTACTTCTTTGATCACTTTTTTAAATTCTCAAATTATCCCTAAGTTAGCCAGTGGAAGCCCTTTCAAAGTATACTGCTCCTGGACATGTGCCATCATTTTTTGAGTACTCCCTTCCTTTTGCTTTCTGGCATAGGATGTTCATGTTCATCCTGTACTTGGCCTTGATCCAGCTTTGGAATCAGTCATTTCTCTAAGGAGTCCCGATTCCTTTTAGTGAGAGACAATATTTAGAAACTGAATACTAAGTATCCTTTTGCATCTACTCTGACTTAGAGAGGAAATTAGGATATTTAATTTAAAAAAAAAAAATTCCACCACTGTTAAGGTAGAGAATGGGACTCATACATGGTAGGCACCCAATAAATATTTACTACATAAATGAACAAATCAAAGTAGAGAGGCACTGCAGCATGTTTTTCAAGACAAACTTAGTTAAATCTGGAGACAGACAGGAGGCTAAGGCCAGTAAATATCACAAGGTAAACCAGAAAGAGAAATTCCAGGCAGAGAAGATGTCTTATTTTAGCAGCTGGAGGAGGAGAAAAGGTACATTTGAGAAAGCAAGTTGCTAGAGAGTAAGAGGGATGGTAGTTGGTGTCATGCCCAGAACACTTCAGTAAATACAAGGACTGCTGAATACAAAAGCACAGCATGCTCATCCCGAGGGGCACAACAGGCTTAAGAGACCTAAACCAGACTGCCTTGGATGGGAGGGCCATCTAAGCACTGGAGCTATTTTACTTAGGATCAATTTAACGGAAGATAAGGAGGTTGAATTTTCCCAAGATTCCTTAGTTTCTAGGCTAACACTCAAATGTATAAAACCAGTATTATATTTCTAATAACAAAGATGATGAGGCTAATAAATTTAAAGTGACTCAAGCAATCTATGACCAAAAAAAAAATCACAATACTAACTTTAGAGGTTCCCTGTTTTAAGCTAAAAGAATGTATCTAGCCACAAAGTATGATATAGATCTAGATGGGATGTGAAATACCAAGTTTCTCACTTTATTTTGTATGACCCCATTTTCTTCAAAGATAAAAACTATAAAAAATCATACATAGAACTAGCCAGTTTGGCTCAGTGGATAGAGCACTGGCCTGCAGACTGAAGTGTACTGGGTTTAATTCTAGTCAAGGGCACATGCCTGGGTTGTGGGCTCAATCCCCAGTAGGGGGGCATACAGGAGGTAGCCCATCAATGATTATCTCTCATCATTGATGTTTTTCTCTCTCTCTCTTTCCCTTCTACTCTAAAATCAGTAAAAATATTTTTAAAAAATCATATGTATTAATATATGCATGTATATGCACAGAAAAAGATTAAGAATACACACCGAGTTCCCCTCAGGAACAGGAATAAGGAGGGAGACAACTTTCATTTTTTACTTTTTTTTATGCCTATATCTAATAGTATTCCTTATTATAAAAATGTATATTTCCAAGTAAAAAATTGAAAGAGAATAAAAATGCTCAGGATCTATCAATCTTCAATGGATAAATGTTGGATCCCTTTCTTTTACTAAAAGAAAACCTTCAAATCAAATTAAAACCCTTTACTTTAGCCCAGCTGGAGTGGCTGAGTGCCATCCTGTGCACTGAAAGGTTGCTGCTTCGATTCCCAGGGAGGGAACATACCTGGATTGCGGGATCCACTCCCAGTTGGGGCAGGTATGGGAGGCAACTGGTCAATATTTCTCTTTCATATCGATGTTTTTCTCCCCCCGCCCCTCTTCCTCTATAGGATATAAATGAATGAATGAATGAATGAATGAATGAATAAATACCTATACTTTAATTTCCTCAATACAATTGTCTGTATTGAGACAATGAGACTGTCTGAAGAAGTCAGGAACACCATAATCTCACACTGTAACTTTGGAAGGACCTCAAAGCTTTGATCAGGTTCTCATACTCACCTTTTTTATTGGTTGTGAAGTACTTGGAGTCAGTCATGGTGTTGGCTCTTTAATGTCCACCTACAGCAAGAGAAAAGAATTCCTTTCTTAAATTAATGTATGCCTTGCTGGACATAAATAACCTGGAGAAAGAACATTTACCTATTAAAATTTCTGTATTCAAAAATGAGTGTCTCCTTTCTTACCACTATCATTGGTGATTCAAGGGATGCAAAGATAACTAAGAAGGTAACTCTTGCCTTAAGGAGCTAATTGGGACAAAAGCCAAATGAAATGGATTAATAGTCTGAACCTAACATGGCTTTGTGATTTTACCCACAATTATCTTCAGAAAGCCTCCAAGACCTACAACTAGACTTTTTATAAATACATCTTCAGTTTTCACTCAAATATTTAAGATAAGGCAAAGTTTGTTTTGAGAGATTCCCCCCATTACTTTCCATTCAGGAAAATCTGATTTACTTCCCTGCCTCAGGATGAAGTCACTTCAAATCCAGTATTCTGGGCCTGGCAGTGTGGGTCAGTTGGGTGGGTGTCATCCTATGCATCAAAAGATTATCAGTTGATTCTCATTTGGGGGACACGTCTAGGTTGTGGGCTCGATCCCGGGTAGAGGATATGACAGGAGGCAGCCTAAAGATATATCACTCTCATATCGATGTTTCTTTCTCTCCTTCTCCTTTTCTCACTCTCTAAAAAGCAATAAAATATCTATCTTAAAAAACAAACAAACTCAGTGTAAGGTCAAAGAAGAAAACAATTCTGCCAATCTATTTACCACTGCATGCAACTTTCAATAAAAGGAATATAAATACACACACACACACACACACACACACACACACACACATATATATATTTAAGCCTAAATTAGTAGCTACTTTGACAACAGACATCTAGAGAGGCAAACACATTTTACCCATGGATTTTTTTAAACTATGATTTTCCAACAACATACACATAGCACAACAGTATTACCAAAGAATAAATAACAATTTACTGTTAAAAGCAAGGCAAAGAAACTTGGGGTATTTGTTTAGTCACATTGAATACAAGAGAATCAGAACTGGCATTAAAATTTAAGAGAAGACAAATTTTACCCTCAACTTTAACTCTTCTGTTTCAATCTCCAGAAACAGAAGACACATTGCTCTACCAATAAAATGGAAAGAATACTAGTCACATTTCTCCCCAATGAGAAAATGTTTTCTGATTTCAGAAACTCATAGTAAGACTTTTGTCTAACACACCTGACGTCTTTAAATACATTTCCTCTTGCACTCAAAATCGAGTATCTTCTTCTTTCCACCATAATTAACAATACTAATTACCAAATTTAGGAAGATGCCCTGGTACCTGTTCATTACTGTCAGATCAAAACAACACAGGTGATAATATATTTGGCAAACCTGAGTGATTAACACATTGGGCTAACAACAGTAAATGTGGATGAGAGAAAAGACCTACACACTAAACAAATCAGTGTAATCAAGGAAAAGGAGAAAGAGCCAGAAAACACAAAATATTGAAAAAAGCTAAGCTCAGCCGAAACCGGTTTGGCTCAGTGGCAGAGCGTCGGTCTGCGGACTGAAAGGTCCCAGGTTCGATTCCAGTCAAGGGCATGTACATTGGTTGCAGGCACATCCCAATAGGGGGTGTGCAAGAGGCAGCTGGTCGATGTTTCTCTCTCATTGACGTTTCTAGCTCTCTATCTCTCTCCCTTCCTCCTCTATGTAAAATATCAATAAAATATATTTTTAAAAAAAAGAAAAAAAAGAAAAAAGCTAAGCTCAAATCATCTCTAAAATGTGCTGCTTTGACAACCAAGAGAAATTAGGCTTATTTACTATCTTTCCAAACAACTTTATTAGTCTTCCTAAGACTTTTATCAGAATTTCACTGAATTACCTTAAACAAGTGGGCTAGAACTCACAATTATTATAGAATACAGAAATTTCTTTTGATCACATTTGTTATAATTAATTAGTCTCTAACAGAGCTTGAATTACACAGTATTTTCATAATGCCTTTCTAGCAAAAATTCAAAGAATGTATAATCATTTAATCCATTCACAGTGTAAACTAAATGTGGAGTGGGCAAATTGAAGAAAGGAGTCCTTCACATAAAAGACTTGGAAAATACCTGAAGTTACCATCTAAGGACTTCCGTATGCAAAGAGAAAAACCAATCTACAGAAAGGACTACTAGAGCCTAACAGAAGGACCGTAGCTCAAGGCTGCTGTGGTCTATTATTATGCCAGTCTAAGTCAAAACTTAAAACTTGCTTAAGATTTAAAAACAAAATCTGCTTGGAATTTTTCACCCAGTTTCTTTGACAAAAATGGTACAAAAATTGTTGTTTGCTTAATGCTCTGATACACACATGTTAAATTCTTAACAGTTTTCAATACAACCTGTTAAATATTAAATTAATGTAATCTTAAATCCTACCTTTTTAATGACCCACACATTTCATTACTTCCCCTAACAAATTTCATTGTCAAGGAATAGATTTCTATCCTATTTATTGTGAGCATTGAGTGCTGTTAACAAGAGATTAATGTACCAACCCACAAAATTTCAGGGGAGAAAATCAAAAGTAATCTTAGATTCTAAATTAAGAATTCCTACTCTTCCCTGGCCTGTGGATCAGTGGTTAGAGCATCAGCCCCCAGACCAAGGGTCTTGGGTTCCATTCCTAATCAAGGGCAAGTACCTAGATTGCAGGTTCACTATCCGCTCTCCTCTTTCCAACCCCCCCTCCTCACCCAGGGTATGTGGGTGCAGGAGGCAACCAGTGGATGTTTCTCTCTCTTTCTCAGTCTCTATCTCCATCCACCTCCCTCTCTCTCCTCCTTTCCCTCTCTCTGAAAAGCAATGGAAAAAAAATATCCTCAGGAGAGGATTAATAAAACAAAAAAGAAAGAATCTCTGGGCTTAGGAGAGGAAAACCATCACTCTCTTAGCTCACACTGTTGTAAACACCAGTAATGGAGTATCCCTCACTCACATTGGCTGGGAAATAATTGTATCAAGTCGGCCCCTGCCTTAAATTCCAAGAAAAATGAAAATAGTCTGTACAAAAACAAAAATGAGACGGTGAGTGCACAACACTGTGAATGTATGAAGTGCCTCTGAACTGCTCACTTTTAAATGGTTAATTCTGTTATGTGAATTTCACTTCAAAAATTACATTTGTATAAATATTTAAAAATGAGATTCACTTAATCATATGCTAGAGATGTGCATAACCAGATTCTCCAAAATATAGGATGGTGAAAACTATTGTCTGCATTAGAAGCCAAAAAAAAGCAGCCAAGATAGAACTCAAGGAAAAAAAAAATCAAGTATGTTTCTCAAAATCAAGCTCCTGAAGGGAAAGACACATTGTTCCTTCAGGAGTGCCCTGGGGGAAAAAGCAAACCCACCAGCATTTGAACTCACCCTACCCTCCTACCAGACTGACAAGTCCTGGCCCTTCTGAGGGCGTCATGGCCTAGGGGCATTGCTAAAAAACACAGCTGCCACAGTCAAAGCACACAATAACTTTCCCTGTCCTAGCCCAGGGTGTCACGTCACTGCACTGAGAGAAGGCCTCCCCATACAGGATCATACATCTACATTTAACATAACCTAGTTTCTACTAAATATAGATTGCGAAAGTCCTTTCTCTCCTCCTACTTCTTCCTCCTTCCAGTCGCCCTAAAGAAAAATAAGGCCAGAAAAATATTAATAGAGTCTTAATTTCGAATGGCTCTCTGGGAAATGGCAGCTAAATTAAAAGTTGACGAGGTCACTGAATCCCTTTTTTCACTTAAATTTGAGTTTTACACAGTTTGGTATTTATACTAAAAAATCTGGCCAAAGAGTTAACCGAAGTATTCCAGCAATCTTTTTTATCGATACAAGGGTAAGAAGTGCTAAACAGATATGTCAATAATAATGCAAGGACAATAGCATCTTCAGGTCTCATTCAGCTCAAAAGAAATTACAAAAGACACCTAATTACAACAGACACACCTGTGATTTCACTTAAATATGGCAGACTATAAGGTAATTTGTTAATACTATACAGTAAGAAAGAAGCTCAACGTTTTACATCTAATTTTTAACTGAAATACCAATAAACTCTGGAAAACTTAAACCTAGAAGGAAGCAAAAAAGGAAAAAGGGAGAGCATATTCTATTTTTAAAAAATATTTGTTATTGATATTTTTACAGAGAGGAAATGAAAGGGATAGAGAGCTAGAAACATCAATGAGAGAGAATCATGGACCAGCTGCCTCTTGCATACCCCCTACGGGAGATGTGCCCGCAACCAAAGTACATGCCCTTGACCGGAATTGAACCTGGGACCCTTCAGTTCGCAGGCGGATGCTCTATCCACTGAGCCAAACCGAAATATTATTCATTCCTTGTTCAGTTTGGTTCAAATCTGAGCCTAAAATGTACTGGACTTCCTTGAGTCTCTTCATTCACAGAAAGTTAGTTTTTATTGATTTTGCCATCCAACTTCCTGTGAGGCTGTTTGCAGAACACACTATCCTTTTGCTTCCTTGGGAGTTTCAACTGTTAAGATACTTGCAAACAGTTCTCACCTTACCACTAGCTTAGTCATCACTGGAATGTGTTACACTTTTCACGTTACCCGCTGAGTCTCCTTCCTCCACTGCTATTATTACTTTGTAAGTGTACCCTGAGGCTAAGCAGGAGAAGTATACCACGAAGGCTATTAATAATTTAAATTGTTCCTCATTGAGACCACCTTCTCTGTCATTCTGCCTTTCGTAAACTTACCGCGTTTTATTTTTTTAAAAATTTCATTGATTATTAAGTGTCTGACATTTAAAAAACACTTCTTTCTAAAAGTCGAAGTTTAACGAAGCATTCATACTTTATTCCCATTGCTTCCTAATGAAGCAGCCAAGAGAGTTCAGTAAAAGCCCCAAATACTATCTGAAAACAAACAATAGCAGGAATAAATTCTCTGGATTCAAAGAATTAGCAAGTACCAGGAAGTATTAGTTTCTTTGCCTCCGGCTTAATCTACGGCCTTTTCTCAAACCGGACCATTCCTGCTAAACCCAAAATGGAAAAATTTGGGGCTAAGGTTTACCCCCAATTGCTCCCCCCTCGTTCACATCGGGCCAGTTCTGGAGGCTTTTCCTCCCCATCTCTTTCTTTAATAGATTTTTAATGATTTCAGAGAGGAAGGGAGAGGGAGAGAGAGAGAAACATCAATGGTGAGAATCAATGACCAGCTGCCTCCTGCACGCCCCACACTGGGGATCGAGCCCGCAACCTGGGCGAGGGCCCTGACCGGGAATCGACCTTCCGGTTCATAGGTCGACGCCCAACCCCTGGGGCCACCCGCTGGGCTCTCCCCATCTCCTAAGTGCCAGGTGGTCAGGGTTCTAGGAACCTGTCCCTCCATCGCGGGGCGGGGGAGCAGCGGCTCTCAGCCTCAAGCTGCGGGACAGACGAGGTTTGCCCACCATCGGAGGGACTGCCGCCCTTTTCCCTTTCGCTGGCGGCCACGTCCCAGGCTCCCCGCGAACCACGCCCAGTGGCCACGGCTGGTTCCCACCATCGGCCTCCGGCCTCCTCCGGCCTCCACCGGCCACACCCCTGGCCCGTGGCCTCCGGAACCTGCGGACTTCGGCACCTCCCTGCCTGCCCGCCTGTGCGCCCCGGCTCCCGGCCGCCGCCCCCAGGGTCCCCTCGCCCCGCCACGGCCCTGGAGTCCCTTCTCCAGCCCTCCCGCTCACAACGGTCACACCCGACGGCTCCCTCCATCCTCAACGGTCCCGCTCCCAGGCTTCCCTCGCCTCCCCCGTCTCCGAGCCAACCTCGGGCCACCCCGTCCGAGCATCCACCGGGGGACACACCCGCGGTCAGCCGCCGGGAACTCACCGGAGGCGAGGGCGGGGGCGGCGGCGGCGGCCGGAGAGCGCGGCCCCAGCGGTGTTGTAATGGGTTCCTGCACGTCACGGCTGCCTTTCCAGGTCTAAGCCGCTGCGCAAAACCCGCTTTGCCAGGGACAAAGATGGCGGACAGGAAACGCCGACGTCAGAGGGGCGCGCCGGGCGACGTCATCGCGGCGCGCGGGGGCAGCGATCTCGTCGCCTAGGAGATGCAAAGATTTTTATTTTATTTTTCTATTTTCTTGGTCCGGAAGAGACCTGCCGCCGGCGTCTCAAATGATATTCAGTGTCTATCCGAAGGGATGTGTTAAGCAAGATGACATTCTCTGGGTTTGTTTCCTCGCACAGTTCTCTAAAAACAAACAAACAAAAAACCACTACAAATATCCCTGTTCCTTTCTTAAAGAAAAACCAACTCGGCTCACTTCCCGGGCCAGTTCAGGAGCGTGGACAGTGGGGATCCAGCCCAGGACTGTGCACGGGCCTGGCTAGCACTAGAGGGGAGTGGTGCAGAGGAAAATTCGGCTGAGAGCGGAGATGAAATGGCTGCCCTGAAGGTCACTGGGAAAGTTGCATCCGTCTTCCTCAATCTTAGTTTTCTTATCTGCGAGATAAAGTTTCAAGTGATTTGCACTCTTTCTTGGTTTTGTGAAGCTTACATTATACACTTAGCATGTAATAGGTTCCACGAAAAGTGAAATTCTTTTTGTTAGCCACAAATTATATACATCTCTGTATCTTACCCTCAACTTTGCTGTGATCTAAAAGAGAGAGGCTGAGACAGAAGCTGAGGAAACCAAATTTGGAAAGGGATCAAGAAAGAGAAATCAGAGAGGCAGAAGGAAAAGCTAGCAGTTATGTTTCAGGATGCTTTTATAATTTCATGAAAGAAGTATATCAATCTGTTCATGCTTCCATTTCTGAGGCCTAGCCCACCCCTCCCCAAAATTTGTTGAATGAATAGTCAATAATATCAATTGCTACAGTCTCCTTCCCATGGCCCTTAGTGCTTGCATGGTTGGCCCTTGCCTATCTCTCTAATATTTTATGCCTCTCAGTCACTCCTCACTCCTCATATTCCCCTCTTTCTGGCTATTATAACACTCAAATATGCCAAGTTCTTTCCCACCTTAGGGCCTCCACAAATACTACTCCTCCTGTCTAATATTCTTTTCCCCAACTCCTTACATGACTGGTTCATAATTTGGTCTCAATTTAAGTGCAATCTCCTCAGAAAGACATTCCGATTACCTGGTGTCCCCTCCTATCCTATCCCTCTTATTCAATTTAGAAATTATATATTAGTTTGTTATTTTTCTCCCCAACTAGACTGTAAATTCCATTATAGTGTAGATACTTTGTATGTTTTGTTGTTGTTGTTTAATCCTCACCTGTGGATATTTCTCCATTGTTTTTTTTTTTTTTTTTTTTTTTTTTTTTTTAGAGAGTGGAAGGGAAAGGGAGAGAGAAATATTGATTTGAGAGAAACACATCGGTTGTTTGCCTCCAGCATGTTGCTCGCTTGAGGAAAGTGTTACGAAGTGAGTACCCCAAGAAATGAACCACCGGAGCCAATTTGATTAAGCATGCTAGAGTTTATTACAGAATCAAATCCGGGCTCAAACCTTGGCTGACACAGCAGCCGGCAAACACCCAGGTGAGAGCCCCGATGGAGAGGCAGTCCCTCCTCTTATACCTCTTTTTCCCCATCCCTCCCACTGTTGGTCTGTCACTCCCTGATTGGCCCTCAGGACAAAGAACTGGCCGTCCTCAGCTATTCCTTAGGTGATTTACACAACCTGGCCTGTTTTGCTTCAAACAGAATGTCTGATCTGACTCCAAACAGGAGTGCAGGATGCTGCGGTTTTTTATGACCCCGATTTCCCAGCCAGATCCGGAGGGAGGTCTGCATGTCCCACCCAAAGGAATTCCCGGCACTGAGTTATAATTGACTTTATTTTTTTAAACTTTTCCCCCCTGGCCTGGTCTGTCTCCAGAGTCCTTATCTCTTATCTCTGTCACATCTTGTATATAACAGCTTATCTTGTATCTTATCTTGTATATAACAGCTACCATTGATCAAGAACCTAACATGTTTCAGGTACTTTATAAATACATTGCCTAATCTTTAAGCTCTGTAAGGTAAAAAATCTTTATCAATGTGACTTTTTAGCAGGCATTTTGGTAAAGAACACCTTTTAGAAGTATAATTAAGGTTAACTTGCAATATACCATTTCTTTCTGAGGGTTCTCATTATGCAAAGCAATCATCTATCTACATACCCTAAGGTCCTCTGGGCAGTGAATGCCTTCTATATACAACCTATTTAGCCCAGAGGTGAGGGAAGAGTTTTGGAAGGAAGGAGGGAGGGAGGGAAGGAGGGAACAGAACAGCTAGAACTTTTGTCACATTCAATAAACCTGTATTAGCAATGCAAATGAGGCAAGGTTGCATAACAGCAGGTTGCAAACCGTAAGGTAAATTACACCAACTTTGGTATACAATGAAAAGTTATCTCTTCTGTCAAGCTTCCCAGTTCCTGCTGGTGGAACTTACCAGGGTTCCTTCGTCTCAGCACTCTATTCCTATAACTAATGGGACACATCCTCCCATGTACAGAGATAGGAATCACTTTGATCTAGGGTAGCGAGCAACTAAGAGTTTATGCTAGGATACAACCAAACGTAGAACACTGTGGTAAACTACCAGCTTGGACGAAATGTAATAACAAAACTCACAAATGTTAACGTCTTACAGGAACCTTTCTCATCCTAATCATCTTTCTTTATCAAATCTTTCCCCAAAGGCGCATGACGTAAATTCACCATTGCACCTGCTGCACCCACACTGAGGGCCTTCCCACCTCCACGTTCCCTCTATCCCCCCGCCCCTGGGACCAAGTTCTGGCGCCAGGGATGGGCGCCCCGAACATCTCGCCAAAAACACCTCTGCAGAGACTCAGGGCTGTGGTTTCCTACTGAAACAGCCCGCAGACCCAACAAACTAAAGCGAGCAACAATCTCTCTCTGAGGAACTCGCGGGGGCGGAACCGGAAGTGCGCGTGGGTCACAGAGTTTTCTAGTTCCGGTTCCGGGGCGGCGTTTGGGGCTAGAGCGCCTCTCTCCGCCGCCGCAGTCCCCCTCCCCCGCCGGCGGGGAACTTCTATTTCCGGGCGCGGCTTCTGTCCCGAAGCGGAGACGTCCCTTCACAGGTGGCGACGTGGGCCCTTCGCGCCGCGACCGGGGTCAGCGCGCAAGGACGGGCGCGGGCGGTGCTCGGCAGCCTGACCTCGTTGCCGGCCCGCACCTGCACCTCTCGTTTCCCAGAACAGGTCGGCTTTGGAGCCCTCGCGATCGGAAGCCCCCGATTCGCAGCTTCCACGATTGCAGCCGGAGAGGACAGACCTCCCGGCCCAAACCTATGCCCCATAGTCACGTTCTGCCCTGTGAGGTGCAGCATTTGCAAGTCACCCCTTCTGCACACAGCACTCCCACCCACGTCTGCGTTAACTTCGTCCTTCCTTGAGACCCGTCCCCTCTGTCTCCAGAGGTGCTCTTTTCTCCCCCAGTTCCTGTAAACATTGAGAATTAGGAGTCTCGGTGTCCAGCAGAAATATTCCTTTTTAAGACTGAGCACCCGTTGGACACCCCAAACAAGTTCATGCTTACTAGAGGCAAAGTGAAACCCAGTGCACGCAGAGAACCATGGCTGAGCACGGGGCTCACATCACAGCTGCTTCTGTGGTGGATGACCAGCCATCCATCTTTGAGGTGGTAGCACAGGACAGTTTAATGACAGCAGTGAGACCTGCTCTTCAGCATGTGGTCAAGGTAAGATATTAATTCTTTAAGTGGTTTTAGGGACGACTGGGTAAAAACCAAACCAATAATTTGAGTTTATCTTGTAGCCTAGGTTTGAAATGACCAATCAGCACATAATTCACATCCTATAATTCACATAACTTAACGGTTATTGAACCCCTGTTATGTGTAGAGCCCAGAATTGAATGCCCAGCACTGCAGGAAGGATAGGGTAGGCCCCCAAAGCAGTGATCTGTTTAATCTCAAAGTGTAGAATCTAGAGGGTGTGGGAGAGACAGGAATGCAAATATAAGACACAGTACCTGTGAAATGGAGTGAATTTCATTTATTAATATCTACTTTGCTTTAGGTTCTTGCAGAATCAAATCCTGCCCACTATGGCTTCTTTTGGAGGTGGTTTGATGAAATCTTTACGCTGCTGGATCTTCTGCTCCAGCAGCATTATCTGTCTAAAACCAGTGCCTCATTTTCCGAAAACTTTTACGGCTTAAAGCGGATTGTAACGGGGGACACACACAAGCTTCAGAGACTGGCCAGTGCTGGTCTCCCAAAGAAGCAGCTTTGGAAGTCAATTATGTTCCTGGTGCTACTTCCCTATCTGAAGGTGAAGCTGGAGAAGCTGGTTTCTAGCCTTAGAGAAGAGGATGAATATTCTATCCATCCCCCTTCTTCCCGCTGGAAACAATTCTATCGAGCCTTCCTGGCAGCCTACCCGTTTGTTAACATGGCCTGGGAAGGCTGGTTTCTTGTACAACAGCTTCGATACATCCTAGGAAAAGCTCAGCATCACTCACCACTGCTTAGTCTGGCTGGAGTTCGGCTAGGCCGACTTACAGTTCAGGATATCCAAGCTCTGGAGCACAAAGCAGCTGAAGCCAGCATGATGCAGCAACCAGCCAGGAGGTAAGGCCTTAACATTACCCCAAATCTTTGATTAACAGATTCTAAAATCTTACTTTAATTTTATGAAATCACCTCCTTCATAAAAATCATAGAAAAATTCCGTGTTCATAAATCAAGGATTGCCATCCTGGTAAGCAACCTCATCATAACACTTGCTATGGCCAGGCCCTGAGCTAGGTGTTGGTTTCATATACATTATCCCAATCCCCACCGCAACCCATTCATTAGCCCAACTTAACGGCGGAGGAAACTAAGCCCTAGCAGCTGAGTACCTTGTCAAGGCCACACAGCTAGAAGGTGGCAGAGCTGAGATTCAAGGCAGATCAACACAATTCTCACCTGCTCTTAACCACGATGCTATACTGCTTCTAGTTAGTGCCCATGCTCTCCTACAAGTGTGTGTGTGTATATATATATATTCCTCAATGCTGCTAAGTTATTTTTTTAAGTGAGTTGTTTCTTTTCCTGGATATACTATCATCCACCCATACACAAAAGGTCTATATAATCAATGTCTCACTAATTTCTTCTCCACACACACAACCCTAGTCTTTAAAAACAAAAGCTTTGCCGAAACCGGTTTGGCTCAATGGTAGAGCGTCGGTCTTCAGACTGAAAGGTCCCAGGTTCGATTCCGGTCAAGGACATGTACATTGGTTGTGGGCACATCCTCGGTGGGGGGTGTGCAAGAGGCCGCTGGTCGATGTTTTTCTCTCTCATCGACGTTTCTAGTTCTCTCTCTCCCTTCCTCTCTGTAAAAAATCAATAAAAACAAAAGCTTTGCTCCATGCTCCTAAAATACTGTAAGTCAGAAAGGGATATCACTTAAGAGTACAGCCTTAAGCAGACAATACCAGTCTGGCAACTGTTCCTTCCCCAAACGAAATTGGCGATTCTGATGAAAAGGGTGAGAACTACATTTATATTCGTCGCTCTGCAATTGTACCTAAACCAAGTTTCTCCTTTTGCCTTCTTGTTCTCTTTTCTAACAGCATTAGTGAGAAGATCACGTCAGCTCTGAAAAAAGCCGTGGGGGGTGTCGCCTTATCCCTCTCTTCTGGCCTGTCTGTCGGTGTCTTCTTCCTGCAATTCCTTGAGTGGTGGTACTCATCTGAAAATCAAGAAACCATCAAATCACTGACGGCCCTGCCTACCCCACCTCCGCCTCTACACCTAGACTACAATTCCGATTCTCCCCTGCTACCCAAAGTGAAGACCGTGTGCCCACTGTGCCGCAAAACCCGGGTGAATGACACTGTTCTTGCCACCTCTGGCTACGTGTTTTGCTACCGCTGCGTGTTTAGTTATGTGAGGACTCACCAGGCTTGTCCCATCACAGGTTATCCAACGGAAGTGCAACACCTGATTAAACTCTACTCCCCTGACAACTGAAAGGGATTAGCATCTTAACTTGCAGCAAAATTATTGCCCAAAAGGCCACAGGGCTGGTTTTCAGCACGGTACACGGCCTTATTTCCTACTTCTTAGCCTCAATTCATAATTATATGAATTAAAAAAAAAAATGATATGGATTTCTTTAAAAGGCTATACCCGTGGATTTGACCTTCTAACCTGCTCTCTAGGCCCCAACTTAACGTTAACCAGGCTGATTAGAGTAACAGAATTGAGGTTAGTATAGACGTGGATAAGAGGGTAATCAGGACAGTTTTTTCTTAAAGAACAAAGGGGTATAGAAGTTCTCAGGAAAAACCCATGTTAGACCTCATAAAGTGGGTGGTGAAAGGGACGCAGACCTTTTATTTAGAAGTCTTCATCTGCCTTTGAGGAAGAGGTTTTATTAGTGTGCAGTGTGAAAAGTGGGCTTACTCTTCTGAAAAATAGCTCCTTCTATGTACTGTGACTCATTTGTTATGTAATATCTGCTGTAATTTATCAACTTTTAAAGATTTCTTTATAAGTCTTTCTTGGGAAACTGGTTAAAGAAAAATTAAGGTCAAGTGTATATATAGATTTTGGTGAGAAAGCAAAGCTAATAAGCAATGAAGAGATGAAGTAAGCCTAGATGGTGTGACTCAGTGGTTGAGCATCAACACATCCACCAAGAGGTCACCAGTTCAATTCCCAGTCAGGGTACATGCCTGGGTTGTAGGCTCAATCCCCAGTGAGGGGCATGCAGCAGGCAGCCAATCTCTTATCGATATTTCTATCTCTCCATCTACCTTCCTCTTTAAAATCAATAAATATTTTTAAAGGATGAAGTAAAATACTCATCTATGTGTAAAGAAAGGCTCCTTTAATAAGCTCTTTCTCCTTGCTATTAAGAGTTTGCTAAACTGGCATGAATTATTCTGGCTATTACTAAAGTTTCTATGAAACACTTAAATACATTTCAAGAATAAACGTTTTTGGCAAAGAACTGTTCCATGTTGTCATGATTGTATAGAAACTGAAAGATTACTTGAGGCCTTTAAATTTTTCATTCAGACAGCCTTTGACTTTTTGGGGTATTTTTGTATTAACGTGTTTTTTTTTTTTTTGCTAATCCAATAATTGGGGAGGAAATCCTTCACTCCAACAGCAAAAATTCAGCATTCAGCTTTGTTCGAAATATCTTGTATTAGAAAGACTACAAAAACACTTAAGTTGCCTATATAGAAAAAATCATGCCTGGATTGGCAAACTGACGGGAAAATATGGGTTAAAAAACCATCATGACTAGATGAGGAAGGATGAACATAATTTGTGGTGCCTCTGCTGAGATAGGTGTTTTCCAATATTTAACTCATTTTAGCAATTCAAAGGATAAACATTCTCTAATGGCACCACGGTGATAAAACTAAAATCTGAAATGGAACATCCTATTGATTTTAAAATATTAACACTTTTACCAAGTGTACCAGTTAATAATGTGGATTTTTTCAATAGATGGAATTACACATATGTTGATACATATGTAATTTGATATGTATGCTATTTTGTTGTATTGACAACAAGCTTCTAAATTTTCTATGTCAAATTTTCTGAAGATGTTAACATTATAGATATTTTTACGCTTAAAAATGTCGAAATTCGTGCCAAAAAAAGAGCATGTACGAAAAGTTTTAATTAATTACTTTATTTTGAATAAAAGTGCTGCTAAATACTTCGGCAATCTTTTGGTGAACATGCTCCATCTCAAGATCCTTGTGAATGCTGGTTTAAATGCTTTAAAAGTGATGATTTCTATGTGAAAGACAAAGAACATCCAGGTCAATTTGAACCAGGCTTTGATCATAAAACAACCAGAATGGGCCAGAAGACACAGCAAAGTAATTTTGCTTTATGATAACACATCATCACGCACTTCAAAACCAGTTAAAGGCACGTTAAAAGATCTTGTCTGGGAAGTACTAACGACTCGCCGTATTCACCAGATCTTGCTCCTTCAGATTACCACTCGTTCCAATCGATGGCACAGGTACTTTCTAAGCAGCATTTCAATATGCACTAATAAGTGGAAAATTGGGTCTCTCAATGGTCTGCCTCAAAACAAGAAAAGTTCGATTGGAATGGTATCCACAAATTACCTGAAAGTAGCTAGCCATGGACATTACTTTGAATAAAGCACTTTTAATGTTTCTCTTGAAATTAATGCGTTTTCTTGGATTAAAAAATCTGTATTATTAACCAGTACACCTGGTATGTATCACTAGAGGCCTGATGCATAAAATTCGTGCAAGGGGCTCAGCCCTCAGAGCTGAGGTGGCTGCCTAGGTCCTCGCAGCCCCAGCCAAAGCAGTCTGGAAGGACGTCTGGTCTAATTAGCATATTACGCTTTTATTATTACAGATAATAAAAACATATGGGATAGTTGCAAGAATTCTTATTATACAGCAAGGTTTTACCAAAGCAAATATAAACATTTTTAATATAATAAATCAATAAGAGGACTGAACCAGATTCAGGATTGAAATAACGTAGTACTCCATGAAAGTATCAAAGCCAGGTATTTCGCCTCAACCTAAAAAGGAAAACATGAAAGTATCAGTAAAATTGAAACAAATACCGAAGAAACACTCATATACATAATAAAATAGGCTAGAACATACCAATGTGGGAAAACCATAAGCAGACTCAGCTCAGAGAGAAGATTAAGTGATCATACCCTGGTCAGAGCCAACACGGAAGCAATGGCAATACCAGGTCAGACTATACTTCACTCATCATCGCATCATTGCAATTCACCTCCTTGTATTACCTTAGAGTATTCTCACTCGCTGTTTTCACTTCTAAAAAAAACTTAGGTTTACCCATGAAAAAAAGGAAAAGCTTCTTTTTAGATAAATTTAAATTGCAACCATGGGCTTCCAATAAATATTTTACCTTTTACTATGCTTTAGTTTAACTCTACAAAAATGCAAGTTTTGTTTGGGGGAGCTTTCTTCTTTTTGAAATACAGGTAAGTGGGTAAGCATTTACAGTTAAAAAAAAAAACTTTTTTTTTTTTTTATTGAACCCAAACACAATGCAAGATAAAATTTCAGATGCCTGCAATGGATTTAGAGACAAGTTCTTAAGCAAAAGCTTTAGAAAAGATTTTACACTAAATTCTATTACAAAGTCAACTCCAGTTCATTTATTATATATTTTGATTCACAATCATGCTGCACATACAGATAAAAACTAGTCACACTTTCGTTATACCAGAATCTCCTATCTAAAGAGTCCAAGACCCACCCAGAGAGGCTATGATTTGCCTAAGGTCCAGAGCAAATTAACATCAGCTGGGAAAACAATTGAAGTCTGATTACCAGATTGGTATTTTTCCACTATCAGTAAATACAGGGTTTAATTTCATTTTCCTCCGGGGCATGAGCAAGATGAAGGAAACAAGGCAAAGCCTGGATAATTCACGACCTGAATAATTAATTTCTGAATGAAAAGCTGATTGCATTTCATTTATTCTAAATGGCACCTGGTAAGATACCATCATTGACGTGGTAAAATACTAGGATCACATGTAACCCTTCCCAGCCCTTCAGCATGATATTGATAGTACCTAATAATTGTGGAGACACCACATGCTTCAGCCATCTATAAGCATCAATAGGTCGATTTTCCATAAAAGTGACAATGGGTCTGTTTGCCATTTAGCAACCAAACTCCATAAAGAGAGGGAGACCAAGAAAGTGTCTATTTTACAGGGGTTATGCTTGAGCCTTTATCTCATCATCCTCTGAGTCTACACAAATATATTTTCCTAATTTTCTTCCTTAGTACACTGCGCTATCTGGAATGCTTCCCCACACCTTTCAATCTGGAGAGCGCCTGATTAGTTTTAAAACCTTACTCACATGTCACCTTCTCTCTCTGTGTTCAGTGGTCCCTAACTCCCCAGTCATCCCCTCCTCTGAATCCCACAGCACTTTCCCCCACAACACGCATCAAATGCCATTTATTCACGACCCCCTCCTCTCCCATCAAGAGTTCCTAAAGAGCCAGGACTGTGTCTTACTGGCTTTTGCATCCATTACCCTCAGAATGGTGCACAGGAGGAGGCTCAATAAATGAGCGTTTAACTCACGCTCCTCCCTACTAAATCCTAAACTCCTGGATTATAAAGGCAGCAGCACCAAAGCCGACTTACCTCCAACGTTTCACGTAGGTAAGGACCACGTCTCAAGCATCTCCAAACCCTCCGCTTCCCCCCCCCCCCCCCCCGATTTCCCCTCCCCGCAGCTTCTACCTCATGGCGTCCTGCCCAGGATAACCAATGCTTACACACAGGGGACCGTCAAACATAAATAATATGGTCCGAACCTCACCAACTTCAAGAAAGACAGAAAAGCCGTCCTTGCGGGGAAACACGAGTAAGGCGGGAGCCAGGGCTCACACCAAAGACCCAGGCAGGAGTCCTAAGCCCTATTTGGAAAATCCTAAAACTAACACTCCTACGCCCTACACTTCAGGAGGCCTGCCCAGCCGGCGAAAGCTCACGGAGCCGACTGCTGGCCCTCCCGCCCGCCCTCTCTGGTCACAGCTACCCTCTCCCCACCCGCCTCCGCCTCCAGGCCCCGCCGGCATCCCACCACCCTGGCGGCCTTGGCCAGACAGACAACCAATCCCGCGGCGGCCAGCGGGTCACGTGCAAGTATCAGCCAATAGGAGGGCGAAGCGGACATCAGGGGTGGAGCGAGCCGGCGGGCGGAACCTCCTTTTCCGTCACTTGGTTTCCAGGCGGACTCCGTACAGCGAGACTCAGAGCCCTCCGGCCTCCGAACGCCTGTTATCCCGGCGGGTTTCGGCGGTGCCTCGTTTCACACCTGGGAAAGGGCTTCGGAGATCGTTGTGCCCTGGGTTTCCGTTTCCGGGGAAAAAAAGATTGAGTGATCCAACATTCTGTATTGCACTTGTCCGCGTGGCCGCGTGAGGGCCAGGGGTCGGGGTGGACTGTCTTAGATGAATGTGTCCTCCTCTGTCCGGAGGGAACTTACTGACTCGTCAGACTCTTGGATGTTTCCTAAGCAAACAAGAGGAGCTGCCAGAAAAGTGCAGCAGATATCAAAGAAGTGTGACGGAGAGGGGGAAAGGCTTTCCGGAAGAAATGGCACTAGATTTGGGTCTTGAAAGATTTTTTTTTTGGAGGGGGGGGCGGGCCGGGGGGGGGAGAGGAAGGCGGAAATGTTGAGAATTAGGAGATTCTGGGAAAAGGAATAATTACCGAATTAAATGAGAATGCATGGGGGGGAGCTGACCAAATTTAAAGCTGAGACGTGTAGTGTTTCTCAAAAATTGGTGAGTTAGCAACACCAGGGGGAAACAATATAAATGTCCTCCATCAAAAACAGATCACACGTGCCGAAACCGGTTTGGCTCAGTGGATAGAGCATTGGCCTGCAGACTGAAAGGTCCTGGGTTCGATTCCGGTCAAGGGCTTGTACCTTGGTTGCGGGCACATCCCCACTGGGGGGTGTGCAGGAGGCAGCTGGTCGATGATTCTCTTGCATCAATGTTTCTAACTCTGTCCCTCTCTTCCTCTCTGTAAAAAAAAATTAATAAAATATGTTTTTTTAAAAAACATCACACGTGGGATTGCAGTGGTTCAGGTGAGAACTAGTAAGAGCCTAAATTGGGACTATGGTAGTGGAAATGGGAGGTAGCTTACAATAAGCAGCATGAGAATTGTGTTGAGTGTTGGACCGGGGTGGGTAGAAGGACATGAAAAAAATAAGGAAAAATGGAGACAAACAAGAGTCCCTTGTACCAGACCTACCAAGGAACTCCAGTGGTCATGCATATGGACTGTATTTGTAAGCATCACACTCAGTGCCAGACCTAAGATTTCAATACCCTAGGTTTGTAAGTGAAAGAATGAATGAATGTTCAGAGACCCAGAGTTAGTGTGGCTTGGTGAAACTAGCATTTTTGTTCTGGGTCACTTTTCCCTACAGTCTTTGAATTATCTCTGTGAATGAATTTAGGAAGGAGGTTGGTGTTTGTTGTAGTTATGGCACCATAACTATGCTGATAAATTAAAGTTCTTAATAAATATATCTGAAATAAATTGGGACTCTAGTTCTTAGGCAATTGTGAATAGAATGGCCAGCTCATTTTCCTAAGACCTAGGAAAAAGCACTGTCCAAGCTAATAATTTCAAGTTACTTTGTAGCATGGACATTTGATGTGAGATCCTCCCCGGTGTGATAACCTATAACTTTATAGCTAGGGGACTTGACTAGGGAACTTCGAAGAAGGAAGAGAAACTCTTTGCTCATCTTTCACATTTTCCCCTCCTTCTGATTTGGTCCCTTACAGTGAATGCATTGAAGAAGAATAAAGAAATTACAATCTGGCTCCTGGTTCTCCTGTCCAAATAATGTCCTTCCTGTGGACCGGGAAGGAAAGGGGGAGACACTTAGGTAGAGTTCTTATTTTGAAGACTTCTTGAAGGCAGAATCCCAAAGGTGAAAGGCAGTGGAAGGAGCAGGAATATTTGTATTAGACAAACCTGCCTTTGAACTCCATCTCTTCCACCTACTGGCCAAGTAATCTCAGTTTCTTTGTAGTGTTAAAAGCTCCCATCTTGGTCCCTTGTGCCAAAATGCACATGTCCAGTAAAGAATGTCATTTCTAAAGGTAAAGAGAGGTTGCAATGTGAGTGAGGCTGGGAATTAAAGTTAGTTGTAGAATTAAAAGACTGAGTTTAGAAGTGAAGTTAATGAAAATCAGTTAGAGTTGAGGCTGAGGGCAGACTTTTAGAGTTTATGGTGCTACTATGCTAATATAGCATGCATTCTGCCTCCTATCCTGAAACTCTATTCAGCCAACATGTACAAAGAGTAATGCCGGCAAAGCGGAACTTCATAGGAATGTAACCTCAGTTAATAATAATAATAATAATAATAATAGTAATAAACAACCATAAATCTATTAAGAATCTCATTTAGCCAAAACCAGTTTGGCTCAGTGGATAGAGTGTGGGTCTGCTGACTGAAAGGTCCTAGGTTCGATTCCCGTCAAGGACATGTAGCTTGGTTGCGGGCACATCCCCAGTAGGGAGTGTGCAGGAATCAGCTGATCGATGCTTCTCATCAATGCTTCTGACTTTCTATCCTTCTCCCTTCCTCTCTGTAAAAAATCAATAAAATATATTTTTTAAAAATAAAAATAGAGCTTTGAAATGAAATTGACCAGGACAGCTTGTATGATGTATGGAAATAACACACAATCCCTTAGAGGTGAGCAGTGTAACTGGCTCTCACTTGAAAACGCCTGAATCTTCCCATTACTACCTAATTCACTCCCAGAAGCCAAACTGCAGCCTTCGAATCTGCCCTGTCATAGGCTTTTCTTGAGTCCTTATCAGCCTTCCTCAGTGGGTCAATGTTATGAAGTCTGGGAGAGTCTGGCAGGCTCCTGCTCCTCCCAGGCTGATATCAAAGAGCCACAGGACTGTGACAGAAAGCAAACATTCAGACCAAAGCCAGATGTGGAACTGAAACAACAAGAAGAGACGCAAACGTATCAGGTAAAAATTTTATTTTCATTTAAAAAACCTCATCCATCTCATCTTAAGTGCAGTTTATGTCTGAGGGTATGAAGGGCTTAGTAAAATAATAGCTACAGGACGATGAGTGAGAAGTTTTGGGGAAATCGGAAAGGATATTCATATGGAGCTTGAATCTCAGAACGCATTGTATTTATCAGTTGTTAACAGCATTAGTAACATCAGTGAGACCCAGGAGTCATGATAGCACAGTTCTACTAGTTCAAAAGCAAGTAGATTTGTCCTGTGAATCCAGCAGGTGGAAATTATAGGGAGACAAATTACAGTTGAAAATGAGGGAACCCCTTTCTAACAGAGCTGTCAGGAAATAGAAGGGACTAATTTGATAGGTAATAAGTTACTCCTCATTGGAGGTGTTCAAGCAGTTGCTGGAAAGCAATATGTTGGGAGATGGGAATATTATACAGAGGATTTAAGAATCAGATGGATGGTTAGACCTGAAGATATTTAAAGTCCTTTCCAACACTTCTGTGACTCTATGACATGAATAGAATGTTAATCAGAAGTTTCTCTGAAGAGCCTGACATTTACATTTTACCTGCTCACATATGAAAAAATAAATAAATCACCATGTTGATTCTGGCATACCTGGCAGAAGTGAGAAGGCAGCCATAAGGGAACTATGGCAGAAGAGGATGTATATCCTGTTGAATGCCTGCTTTTTGTCCCCTCTTCATGATCATAACACCCACATGGCCTCTACTTTGCAAAGATTACAGGAAGAATTTTGGTTTGGGTTAGTAAACAGCTTATTTTGCAGTTTACAAAAGCTAAGGGAGCCATGTCTGAAATATTTGCTACAGAGCTCTGATCTCTATTTTGATGGCTATTCTCTGATCTGAGAAGCAAAAGGAGATTGATCACAGTTTAACAACTATGTTCCAAAGGCTCATGTTTTTTCCAAGTCTTAAAGGTTCCCACAGCACAGGGCAGAACTATTAGAAGGGTAGGAAAATGCCTGTATCACACTATATAGGAAGAAAGGCACTTTTAGAAGAATGTTTGAAAAGATAAAAAGAGCCCAGCCTGCGTGGCTCAGTGGTTGAGCATGGAGCTATGAACCAAGAGGTCATGCTTTGATTCCCAGGCCAGGCACATGCCCAGGTCAGGGCACATGCCCAGGTTGTGGGACATGCAGGAGGCAGCCAGTCAACAATTCTCTCTCATCATTGATGTTTCTAACTCTCTTTCCCTCTCCTTTCTTTTCTGAAATCAATAAAAATATTATAGCAAAATATTAAGCACTTACCTTTAACTATGCCCATTCATGCTGGGAAGGCTAAGGATTTTTATCAAGTTGTTAGAAAACAGTGATATCAAATATTATTTCCACCTGGCCATTGTTGCTGTGTGGTTGAGCATCAGCCTACAAACCAAGAGGTTACAGTTCAATTCCCAGTCAGGGCACATGCCCAGGTTGCATACTAGATCCCCAGTAGGGGCCATACAGGAAGCAGCTGATCAATAATTCTCTGTCATCATTGATGTTTCAATCTCTCTCTCTCTCCTTCTCCCTCTCTCTTCCACTCTAAAACCAATAAAAATATATTTTAAAATATTATTTCTGTGTTAAAATATATTTATAGCTTTAAAGAAAATATTGTAATCTCTGAAATTCTTGTTAATGAGAAACAACATTTCTGTTCTGCTTATTTACTGGGACCCCTTTCTGTAATTGTTTTTGAGCACACAGGGACTGCTGAGATGGAAAGTCTCCAGACCAGTACGGAAATGCTCTATCCTGAGATAATTGTGGACGTGGGCACAGTGACTTTTGGAGAAGAGAACAGGAAGAACATGACCAATAACCAGTTGAAAAGGAATGAGAATTCTAAAATCATCCAAGCCGCCTGTGCACTGCTAAATTCTGGAGGGGGTGTGATCAGAGCGAAGATTGATGATAAAAACTACAGCTACCGGTGCCACGGGCTGGGTCAGGATCTGGAGACTTCTTTTCAAAAGCTCCTTCCTTCAGGTTCACAGAAATACCTTGACTACATGCAACAGGGGCACAATCTCTTGATTTTTGTAAAGTCATGGAGCCCAGATGTTTTCAGCCTCCCCCTAAGGATCTGTAGCTTGCGTTCCAATTTATATCAGAGAGATGTGACTTCCGCTATAAACCTGAGTGCTAGCAGTGCCCTAGAACTTCTCAGACAGAAGCAGTATAGAGCCCAGAGAGGAAGACCCAGGGTGAAGGAGCGGCATCCTCAGAAGGTTCTTGACAGACACATTCAGGAAGAGGAAGATATGAGGCTGTCTGCTTCAGAATTTCTTAAAAAGGACAAACTCATGTATAAAGAGAAACTCAACTTTACTGAGTCGACACATGTTGAGTTAAAAAGGTTCACCACCAAAAAGATTGTCCCTAGGATTAAAGAAATGTTGGCCCATTACATTTCTGCATTTGCCAACACTCAGGGGGGATACTTAATTATCGGGGTAGATGATAAGAGCAAAGAAGTGTTTGGATGTAAGAGAGAAAAAGTGAACCCTGACTTATTAAAAAAGGAAATAGAAAACTGCATAGAAAAACTGCCTACATTCCACTTCTGCCATGAAAAGCCAAAGGTGAATTTCACTACCAAAATCTTGGATGTATACCAAAAGGATGTCCTGTATGGTTATGTCTGTGTTGTTCAAGTGGAACCCTTCTGCTGTGTGGTATTCACAGAGGCCCCAGATTCGTGGATCATGAGGGACAATTTGGTCACAAGGCTGACGGCAGAGGACTGGGTGGCTATGATGCTGGATATTCCATCAGGTAAACCAGAATAGAAGCCATTATTCAGTCAGCAGGGAGTAACTCCTTCTCTGCCTTCTGTGGGTAGTTGGTCAGATGTTGTTGTTGTTGTTTTTTTTTTTAATATGTTTTTTATTGATTTTAGAGAGAAAGGGAAAGGGAGAGAGAGATAAAAACATCATTGATGAGAGAGAATAATTGATCAGCTGCCTCCTGCACACCCCACTCTGGGGATCTAGTCCATAACTGGGGCATGTGCCCTGACCGGGAATTGAACCATGACCTCTTGGTTCATAGGTCAATGCTCAGCCACTGAGCCATGCTGGCTGGGCTGGCCAGATATTTTACTTAAAGAACAGAAAGCAGTTTTGCTTAAAAATATTCTCCCATTGCCCTGGCCAGTGTTCTCAGTAGTTAGAATGACAGGCCATGCACTGAAGGATTTGGTTTGATCCCCAGTCAGCGCACATGTCCAGGTTGTGGGCTTGATCTCCAGTGGAAGGCATACAGGAGGCAGCCAATCATTGATTCTCTCTCATCATTAATGTTTCTATACCTTTCTCTCTCTCCCTTCCTCCCTGAAATCAATTAAAAATATATATTTTTAAAAAACTTTAATCAGTAATCTCACTCTAAAGATGATATTCCAAAGGGAAATTGTTTAAGAAGGACTCTTCACTAATTCTTTCAAGGGAAGCTTGTTGACAATTCTGAATTGTTTCAGTAACATTAGGAACTAATACCTCCAATTACTGGGCTTGGGGCACCACCAAGTGGAGAAAAGCTGTTGCAAAAGGAGATGCTTGGGTAGGGGATAGAAGGATGGAGGGGAGGGTGGAGAGGGAAGAGAGTTTGGAGGGGAGGGGTGAAGAGACTCCTAGTGTTTTCACTTTATAGTTTTGCTCAGAATCAGCCCTAGTGATCTCTAAGCAATCCATGGAGGACTTACAGCCTGAACGCAGCTTATCAATTTGCCTTCGTGGTTAATATGTTCCAAATTTTATAAAAGAAGCTTGGATGGAGCCTTAAGTGATTATTCTTTCTCTTGTCCTAAATTTGTTTGAATTTAAACACACACACACACACACACACACACACACACACACACAAACTAGAGATTCTGTCACTTCCTATTCCATCCAAACCTTGCATGGGGACTTAAACAACTATAGCAATATAAAAAATATATAGTGTGCTTAACTTTTTCTGACCTCACTCCCTCTAGAAGCTGGAATCAGAATATTAGAGTTGGAATGAATCTTAGGGATTATCTCACCCTGACATGAGGTCAAATGACTAGCCCTGCAGGAGTCCCCAAACTTCCTTTCTTACATATGTGAATAGTTTGAGGCATAGAAAGTGTGAGAGCAGCTCAGCACCATGCAAATTGCATGCCAACAGTAGGAGGACAATTAAAAAGTGCTTTTCCTTTTTCATCTGAAACAACTCTCCATATATTTATTTGTTTAGCTCCCTCCAGTTTGGCCACAGACTACAGCCTTCTCCCGATTTCACCAGCTTCATCTGCACTAAGAAGCTCATCATATCCTATGAAAGTCCTGGAATTTAAGGAGGTTCTACAACAACGTTTGTTTCCAGGTATTCCCTTCTTATTTCTTTTCTAAAATTATGTTGGAAGGAATTGATAGCAATTAATCCAAATTTTTCTCGTTAGAGAGAAGGTCAGGTGTAGGACTTAGCAAAAATAATGGTCTCAAAATAATATATAGGGCTAACTCTTGTTTCCCAGTCATCAAATTCACACAGTATTTCTCTGTGCTTTGGGGCTTCCAGTCATGTATGGCTTTTGTTTCCTAAATATGAGAGAATTTGGGAGTCATCCTAAATCCCTCATGTCTATATCACAAGAGAATTGCCCCCTGGCTTTCCAATACAGAAGGAGGTGAGCCACGGGGTTCTATGGCAGAGTTTCTCAGCCTTGGCACTATTGACTTGTGGATCAGCTAATTGTTTGTTGAGGGGCCTGCCCTGTGCCTCTATCCACTAAATTCCAGTAGCAGCCCTCCAGCCATGACAATCAAAAAATGTCCAGCCCTTACCTGTTTGGCTCAGTGGATAAAGGAGGTTCATGGTTTGATTCTGGTCAATGGCATGGATTCTAGTTGCGGGCTGGATCCCTAGTGGGGGTTGTGCAGGAGGCAGCTGATCGATGTTTCTCTCTCATCGATGTTTCTAACTCTCTATCTCTAGTCCTTCCTTTCTAAAAATAAAAAAAAACAATAAAAATATATTTTTTAAAAATTGCCAGCCCTGGCCAGTGTGGTTCACTTGGTTGGGTGTCAACCCATGTACTGAGAGAGAGATTGCTGGTTCCATTCGTAGTGGGGCACATGCCCTGAGTTGTGGGCTGGATCCCAGAGTGGGTGTGCAAGAGGCAGTCCATCTATGGATGTTTCTCTCTCTCTAAAAATTCAATAAACTATGGTTTTTAAAAATGTCCAGATATTATTAAATACCCCAGGGTGTGTGTGTGTGTGTGTGTGTGTGTGTGTGTGTGTGTGTGTGTGTCAAAATTGCCACGTTAGAATCGTTGTTTTAAAGAAATGTTCTTAGTTCTCACAAAAGCATCAGGTTCACACACATACACACACACACACACACACACACACACACACACCCTCAACAGGAAGGAGGACTTCCTAGCAATAGTGGACCATTTGGGGCTGAGGAGACAGTGCCAGGAGGCTGTTCTGTAAAGACCCCTTCTTGACTGCCCTCCCCCATAGGAGAGTTGCCAACAACAGGAACTTCTTAGCCCTGGCCTGTGAAGAGGGGGTGCTTTCTTTGCAGACAGGGATCCTATGGTTCCAGATCTAGCCTCATTTCTTCCTATGATGTTGCAGGAATACTTATAATATGCTTTTGTACATTTTAGTAACTTCTATCCCTTGAATTTTCAGTGACACAGGAAGAGATACAATTTAAACCGGAATCCCTCTGTAAGACGTTGTTCTCAGATCATAAAGAACTGGAGGAATTCATGAAGACACAGATATGTCCTATCTCGCAGGGGATTGTGGTATTTTCTCGAAGCTGGGCTAGTGATATTGGCTTAAGGAAAGAACAGAACGTCTTGTGTGATGCTCTCCTAATAGCAGTGAACAGTCCCCTGGTACTTTATACAATCTTGATACACCCCGGTGGGACTGAAGGGCCTGAATATGCCCGAAACACTGCTCGTCAGTTAAAGCAGAAACTGGGAACTGTTGGTGGTTACACAGGGAGAGTGTGTGTCATTCCGAGACTGCTGCACCTGCCCGGCACACAGTCTAGACCCCGTGGGACCCCTGTGCACTACCCTCAATCCTACCAGCTTGCTAACGAGGAGGAAATGGAAGACTTGTTGCAGGCCCTTGTCGTGGTGGTCTTGCTGTGCTCTCGATCCCTTCTGAGTGACCGGCTGGGCTGTGAATTTTTCAACTTGCTCATAGAGGAGCAGTGTGAGTTGCTGTCAGAGAGCCTTCAGGAGACGCGAGAATTGTTCATCCACTGCTTCCCAGGAAGCAGGAAGACAACCCTAGCCATAAAGATCATGGAGAAAATCAAGGACCTATTCCACTGCAAACCAAGAGAGATCCTCTACGTTTGCGAACATGACTCCTTAAAGGACTACGTGGCGTGAGTGTTTCGCTGACTAAACACAGTAAATGTGTTGAGTCAGTCTTTTCAACAATATCACCAAAGTAATGTATGTGTATTACTTAAGATTTTGCAATGCCTTAACTATGTAAGTGCAGGAGCCCAAATCTTTGCAAGAGACCAGGTAGTTGAGCTATAAATGGGTACTTTGCTATTTCCAGCCTTCAGTATTTCATCATAAATCAGCCAAGTCTGCATACATTTAAGTTTATATAACTAGGAACAGTTTCTCACAATCTGTGTTTTTTTGTTTGTTTGTTTTTTAATATATTTTATTGATTTTTTACAGAGAGGAAGGGAGAGAGATAGAGAGCTAGAAACGTCCATGAGAGAGAAACATCGACCAGCTGCCTCTTGCACACCCCCTACCGGGGATGTGCCCGCAACCAACGTACATGCCCTTGACCGGAATCGAACCTGGGACCTTTCAGTCCGCAGACCGACGCTCTACCGCTGAGCCAAACCGGTTTCAGCCTGTGGTCTGAAATGTAAAGAAAAGTAGAAATGAAACTATTTTGATTTAAGGAAACATTTTTCTTGCTGCTTAATATTTTAAAGCCACAGTATATTTCAGTTGATGAGACATTCTACCACTAGCAACTTGAATTTAAATACCATTTGATTTTGTTTATAAAATATTTTCATTTGTTTGACTTGTTCTGAATCAGTAATTTTGGAAGACATACAAATCTGCTTCTGATTTATATCTTTAGCTTTTAATTTAGTAAAAGCATTGGTTGCTTTGTAATTCAGCAAATGAGGGCAAACTCATTTTCATTTTTGTCTGGTTTACTTACTTATTCTACAAATCTTTTTGAGCACCATGTATATGCTAGGTACTGTGTACATTGAGTGCTAGTCGGAATAAAGACATTGAAGACCTGGCCATAAAGCCCAAAAAGGGGGACAAAAAATAAAATAAGCAATGTGAATATTGTATAATTAGTATGGCAGTAAAGATATGCTTATCTTAACTTGAGCTGAAGGTTGGTCAGTAAATTCTCCCCAGTGAAGAAGATCTCTAAGAAGGATACACTCTTAAGAAGTCAGTAGGGAAAGTGAATAAAATAAGGGCTTTTTAGGCAAAGGGCACAGCGTGTGCAAAGGCATGGATATGTTTAGAGAATCAAGAGGGTAAGTCTAACTAGAGCAGTGGGAGTGGGGTATGGTTATGTAGTAGGTGATGGAATTGGAAAAGGAGGAAGATGCCATATTATGAAAGATTTGTAAATTGTGCTATGGATTAAATTCTTTATTATGCTCTATAGGTAAGTTTAAAAATGCTCCGGTCAATTAAAAAAGTATCTATTGAACCCTAATGTGAGGAGGATACAGAGAATGGGAATCAGTGTTTTTCTTCAAGATGTCTACACAGTCCAAAATGGAAGAGCAGAACATGACCAGTTGTGATTCAGGGCACAGGGAGTGAAGCCCCAGGGACTGCGGATGTAACATCCAGAAATCCATAGGCAGAAGTGATATTACCTGGATCCAAATTAGAGGAGGCAACAATTAAACTTGATTGTTTCTTGCCTCCTCTAAGGTGTTCCTCCTTCTTTGAAATGCTAAAACATACTGTAAAGGGAACCTGAACACGCTAAACAGGGGTATAGCCCTGTAGATTTATTACCCAGTTGACATGTCATGGAACTCAGCAGCCTCTTCATGTTTTCCTTACCAAAATCTAAAGAGGCTTCTGGTTTTGTACTACAAGTAAATGGGGTGATGGGATTTGCTTTAGAGGAATTTGTATTTACCCATACCTCTTTTCCACATAAAAAAAAGTATGATATGCCTCCAGATATCTGTTCTCTAGCTTTAAGAAGGACAGAAAGTAAAGAGCTTGTCTTCAGAGATTATCAAGCAGCAGAATTGTTACTAATAGAAAAAATAACGTTCCTACCTAGGTTTATTTCAAAAGTTTCACATGCATATTTAAACTAGGTAAACCTGAAAAGTAGGGTTTACAATGAAGTGTTCTCTCTATCAGGTAACTTGTAAGTAGAGCAGTTTTGTAGTATTCCGCATACAACTGGCTCAATGAATCATCACCCAGGTGAGAACTAGTCTCTAATTTCAATCCCGAGAGTAATGAGTGTGTGGTGCTCCCTGAAATCCAATTCTCTCTTTCATCCTTTCAGCCAACAAACCACCTGCCAGGCCGTGACCCGGAAAACCTTCATGCAAGGGGAGTTCCTGAAGATTAAACACATAGTGATGGATGAGACCGAGAATTTCTGCAGTGTGTATGGTGATTGGTACAAAAAGGCTAAGGGTATCACCCATCCAGAGGGGAGGGGAGCTGGAAGGAAAAACCTTCACCATGGGGTTCTCTGGCTCTTTCTGGATCCCTTCCAAGTCCATCATGCTGATGTCAATGGCCTCCCCCCTCCATCTGCTCAGTTTCCTCGGAAAATAATCACTAAAGGGATCCACTGTTCTCTGGAAATAGCAATGGTCATGAAACAAGAAATGAGGAAGATCAAAGAAAATCCTCCCTCCAACATGTTTCTGGACACACTGGCACTCTTCAGGGAAGCTGCCTACGAGGAAGCAATGCGTGCCCAGGCTCTTCCTGGGGTGTGTGAAACGGAGACCAACCTGACAATAGAACAAATCGCAAAATACGTGGCAGAAAGATGTCACCACCTGTTCCAGTGTGGCTATCTGCCCAAAGATATAGCAATTCTGTGCAGGAGAGGGGAGGACAGAGGACGCTACGAGCTTGCATTGCTAAAAGCAATGGAATTAATTGAGACCCGCAGAGCCGCAGAAGTTGTGTTCAGCCAGGCCTCTGGTGTTTTGGGCACTCACATCATTTTAGACAGCATTCAGCAGTTTTCAGGCCTAGAGAGGAATATTGTGTTTGGGCTTAGTCCAGAATGCACTCCTTCAGAGGAAACGCATAAGCTCTCCTTTGCCTCAAGAGCCATTAAACACCTCTACCTGCTTTATGAAAAGAGAAGAGCCTTCTGAAAACCATTTCAAACAAAACAGGAAGCCAAAGGAGCAGAGTCCCTTCTCCCAGGCAGGTGACAGGTACTCCTTTTCACATATTACAAATGGGAAGATCAAGGCACAATCAGTATGGCAGAGAGCCACAGAGCCACAGTCTCTTGGGACTGATCCTGCCACTGCATTTGCAGTGTCACTGTCCTTTTCCCAGTCCACTTCACCTCCTCCATGCACAATTACAACAGACTTATCATTGGTCCCCTGCCTCTGGTTTTTCCTTGTCCAATCCAGCTCTCATCCTGTCAACCAGAGATGTTCTTTTCAAACAGAGAACTGATTTTATGACATTCCCTGCTAATGTGTCTTCAGGGAGTCCCTGCAATGTTTAAACCAAGCTACTTTTCAATGCTTTCCATGACATACCCTGACTTACTCTCTTAACACAGTATTTATTATGCCTTTCCAGAGTTTCTAATGCACCCAGCCTTACTGACCTATTTGGATGTGGGAGGTAGGGTGCCCTTCAGGCTACTCACTTTGACTGGGTCTCTCAGGGTAGTACCTTGGTTGGCACCTCATACTGGCTGTGGGTCTCAAGCTTCATAGGCTCAGAACTTGATTTCTTCTTTGCACCAAGTTTGGACCAGTTTCTTGAGGATGGCTTTATGTCAATCAAGCCCGCAAAAGACCAAGGCATAACTTTCAATGCCACTCTATCAATTTATAGGGAGGATTATAGTAATAAGTGGGCCAGATACTCTTGCTAATCAGCCATGCAGTAGTAACATATGAGGCCAAATTACATAAGCATAGCTTTACAGCAAGGGAAGCTGGTAATATGATCCAAATGTATGGCTTAAAGCTATGATAGACTATCGTAAACACCTCTAAAATAGGGATATTTCCACCATAACAGCAGATTTACCAAAAAAAAAGCAAATTTGGAATGCTAAGAGTGACTAGTTGTTCCATATTCTTTGTCTTAAATGATGTTTTCTTTCTTTCTGAGCTTCTAAAATAAACCACCAACCTTCTCCTCACTCCTCTCAACACGTTACAGTACGTTACTCACATTCATTTTCTACCTGTTAATACTTTCATCTATAATAGTTGAGAAACTGCTCCTACCCTGCTACTGGCCTGGGAAGCAGTTTGTCTGTCATGGGTTTTGCACATCCCTAAACTCTTCCATTATGATTTGGTGTTAATTTTATAATTCAACTCTAAGAGTTCATGGGAGCCTGGATGGCAATTCTGCTATACAGTATATTCATCATAAACCTCAGGACCATTTAACTTTTTAAACGATATGCGTGCATTATGTAATTTTTTATAAAATAATTTGTTTTTAAAGTAATTGTTTTTAAAATAATTGTTTTAATTTGAGGGTGCTTGTCAGTTCTCAGTCTACTAAAACAGCTCAGACAGGTTTAAAGTAGAAGGCCTAACCCAGTGATTCTCAACCTTGGATGCTCATTTTGATGGTCTGAGAAACTTTAAAAATACCAAAGATCTAGCCAGACACCAGACCAATTAAATTAGAATCCTTGGGCATGGGCTTGGACATAGGTGTTTATTAATAGTTGTCCAGATGATTCTAATTTACCACCATGATTTAGAACATGGGACCAATCTCCTAGTCCAGTGGTCAGCAAACTGCAGCTTGTGAGCCGCGGTTTGCCGCTCTGTTGACTAATGAATTTGCTGACCACTGTCCTAGTGTGTTCTTTCTAACCTCAAATAAGTGTGTACACACTTCTCTTCCCATTAGATTGTGAGATCCTTTAGGGTAAGGATGGTCATTTACACATCTTTATTTCCCCAAAAGCAACTAGTGTAGTGCCTCCAACATGGAAGGTGCTCATAATTATTTGTTGAATGGATTTGCTACTTTCAGAGAGTCAGAGTCTACTAGGGATAATGTTTATATTTAATGAAACAAATACCTAATTTTGGAGACTTCAAAGAGGTCAATGTGGAGAATAATCAGCACTGCAATAATGAAGAATAACAGGATAATGGAACTTAAGCTGTTTTGTTTTGTTTTTTTGTTTTTTTTTAGGCAATAGGCAAAGTTAAAGATCCATGTTGATGGTTTGTGTTTGAGATTAGCAATTGGTGGGGACTGAGAATAATTGACTATCTTGCTTGTACTTAGAATTCTAAATTTTTTCTATAGGCCGGTAATATAATGGACAAAGCAGGTAGTTTGATGAACTAATTTGTCTGCTATAAGAAACTTCGAAAACTTACTTTTAAAAAGAAGGGTAACCCTGGCCTGGTAGCTCAGTTGGTTATAGTGTCATCACAATAAACCAAGGTTGCATGTTCAATCCTTGGTCAGGGCACATACAAGACTTAATCAATGAATGCATGAATAAGTGGAACAACAAATAGATGTTTCTCCCTTTCTCTTTCTCTTCCTTCCTCTCTCTAACATCAGTTATTATATAAATAAATAAAAATGAAAAAGAATAATAATATACTTCTATTGTGTTAAATTTGAGAAATGGAGAAAGGCAAAATAAAAAGTACTTATTATCTTGTTACCCAGGCCCAGTGATTTTTTAAAAAAATTTTTGCTTACTTATTTCTATTCTTTGTTGATAGGCAAAAATATTTTTACATAGTTATGGCCAAGTTGTACAATCAACTTTATATCCTGTGCATATATTTTTCCACATCTCCTTTTTGTTATAGTCTATACCAGCGTTTCCCAAACTTTTGACATATGTGTACTCTTTCTATAATTTTCGTAACGTTGAGTACCCCTCGTACTCATGAGAACGTAGAATTAGGCGCAGCTAAGCACGGTGCAGTGCGTATCCCCACCAAACTCCGGTGCAACGCGTACCTCCACCAAACTCTTCCTGTACCCCTGGGGGTACGCGTACCACACTTGGGGAAACACTGGTATACTATTGTTCCCAATGCTTCTCCCTCTCCTTCTCCCTATACCCTTTATAGTTCTTATCATTAGATTTGGAGTATATTTTCCCACCCCCGTGATATGGGCTTGGCAGTGTCACTTTATTTGGCCAATGACATGTTAGTGCAGAGGCTTTACGCATTTCAGTATTACTACATCTGTTCTCTTAGTTTCTGCTACTGTGAAGACTATGCCTTGGGCAGTCAATCAGTCACCGAGAAATGAGAGATGTGAAGCAAGCAGTCTTGAACTCAACTCGTGACACGGAGCCAAGTTGGACTGATCCTAACTATTAATAGATAGCCAAAACCCAACTGATTTGCAATGTGTAAGTGATAAATAAGTGCTTATTATTGTATGAGTGAGATTTCAAGTTTGTTTCTTTTGCAGCAGTAGCTGACTGATGCAGGCATTTCTTGATGTTGTAGCATTATCTTAAAAATTACCATTTTAGCCCTGACTGGTTTGGCTCAGTGGATAGAGCGTCGCCCCATACTCAGGCATACAAAACTAACTTTTCTTCCTTTGGTATATTTATAAATCCCCAGAGATTATATTATTGGATCAAAAGGGTGGCCTAGGTAAAATATTCACCTTATTTATATTTGTTCTGATGGGAAGTGCATAGACAAACCCTAATCACTGTACCTGACAACATACAGATTTGTTGCCTTAAGTAACAGAACAAACAGGTTCTGAAGGGGGGAAAAAAAAAAAAAAAGGACATCGGTATCTCAGAAACAGGCGGCTTAGAACGTGCTGTTTCTGGAGAGTGAAACCAAGGCTCATCACCCTAGCCCAGAACCCTAGAAGAAGGGAATTACAGATGGAAACATGAATTATGTAACCAAACATTTTGTAGGAAAAAAACTCTGGCCACCTGAAACGGATGTATGGCGCTGTCTCAGAAAAAATACAGTATGCCTCAACAGCACTTCTTCTGTTGTTGTTAGTCCTCATCCCAGGATATTTTTTCCATTGATTTTTAGAGAGAGTGGAAGTGAGGGGGAGAGAGAAAGAGAAACATTGATGTGAGAGAGACACATCAATTGATTGCCTCCTGCCTTTGATCAGGGCCAGAGCCTGCAATCAAGATACTAGTACATTCCCTTGATCGGAATGGAACCCAGGGCCCTTCAGTCCACAGGCCAATGCTTAATCCACTGAGCAAAATTGAGTAGGGTGACTTTTTTAAGTTTTTTATTTTTTTAAAAGAGAAACTATAGCATGGAGAAACCCATTTAAGAAAGGAAAAAGAAGCATAAACTAGATTTTCTATAAAGCTGAGCTCCCTGTTTCCTCAAGGTTTTGGGGAGGCCAAACATAAAATTATTATTTTAAAAAAATATATTTTATTGATTTTTTTACAGAGAGGAAGAGAGAAGGATAGAGGGTTAGAAACATCGATGAGAGAGAATCATTGATCAGCTGCCTCTTGCATACCCCCTACTGGGAATGTGCCCGCAACCAAGGTACATGCCCTTGACTGGAATCGAACCCAGGATCTTTCAGTCTCTATCCATTGAGCCAAACCGGTTTTGGCCATAAAATTATTTTTAAGAAGCTTCAATTGGGAAATAAGCACATTTATAATAACTGTATGTTATTATTTATTGAGATATCACTACAACCAGCTACTACCCTGTTTCCCCAAAAATAAGACAGTGTCTTATATTAATTTTTTCTCCCAAAGTTGCGCTAGGTCTTATTTTCAGGGGATGTCTTATCTTTCCATGCGCTAGATCTTATTTTCGAAGGATGTCTTATTTTTGGGGAAACACGGTATTTGCTAATGCTTTGTATATTTTCACAACTACATGAAGTATATACATTTTATCTCCATTTTATACATTATAAAAATGAGGCACAGAGAATTTAACTTTCTCAAAAGCACATTTCTAGTAAGTGTCTAAGCTGAGTAAATAGAACATCTAAATAGAATCCTTGATGGGGTCATCTCAATCTTGAGAATGTGAAAACACTCCCCAGAGCCGAGAATACTCATGTTTGCTTTCAGGACCCTCTGTCAAGTTTTCATCTCTAGAGAGCATTGACTTCATTATGAGTGAAAACAGCTGACTAAACTGTTTCC